CTGAGTGTGGCGGCTTCGACTCGGGAGTATGGCAAAAATGCTAATTAGGCGTAATTCGCATAAAATTCGCAAACATTTGCTGTGCGTGGATTCAGCGCTGGGGATTCACTTTGCTACGTGGCTTTTGATTTATGAGCGAATGACGCCTATCAGCAGCAAGTCCGCATCCACATCAACATTCAGCTTCAGCTTCGGCTTCAGCAGCGTCAATCGTCAGCTCATCCGTCATCGCAGACCACACCAGGAGCAGTTGAAGGGATGAAGAGATTGAGATGGATGCCTCTTCTGCTCCATGCTCCATGCTTCATGCTCCATGCTCCATGTTCCATGGCCTGCGGCGGGCAGCCTGATAAATTATTAAGTATATGTGTAAGCTGACGTGATTCTGATACGAGCCGCATTTTGTTTTGCTGACTGCGATTTCTGATTCCACTTTAACTACACATTTGTTGGCGGCATTAATCCTTAAGATCGCGCAGATTTTCTATATACAACTGCTTGCCTCAACTGTCGTATTTGACATGATATCTTATGGATTTCCGCTTTACAATACACCCAGAATCACATTTTCAGACCTAAACGTTTTTAGGCCTGGGTTGATAACTTTACTTGGCAGTGGACGGGCAATGGAGTGGGTGGTTGCTGGCTTTCCACACAGTTTTAAGTAATAGAAATCATACTTTTAAAAATACTTTCTGACATTTATAAAAGAGTAATGAAATTTGCTCTCTCAGATTTACCTGCCACATAAACAGCTGAGTTACGCTTGGCGAGTTTCTAAAATTCAATTCACCTTCTTTTTGCTGAGTGTAGTGGTGAGCAGTTTGTGTTTTAGTTGCTGACATTGTCAGTGTCCATTTCCTGGTCCGCTGAAAGTGTTTCAATGTCAAACAGAAGCGAATCGCAATCCATTAGATTAAGCCAACAGTTCCATTCGCGACCCCAATGAAAATTCATGAAAGCTCAGTCTGTCTCTCTCTCTCTCTCTCACTCTCTCTGTCTGTTGCCGTCTCTCTCTCTCTCTCTATCTCACTCTGCCCTTGGCCACTTTTGTGGTCAATTAACGGACGCTTTTCGCAGCCTCAAAGTTTGCTGTTGGTGTAATTAATTTAAGTGACCCACTGCGTCAGCCTCTCTCCCTGCCCCACCTACCACGGCCCCTTCTTGTCTCAACAGGCGACACCTTGAGCCAAACATTCGCAACATTCGCAACATTCCCAATATATTTTCAACATTCCCAACATCAGCTCCAACATCTTCTCACACATTGTCACAACACCTGTCGCCGTTAAACACTTTTGAACAATCTAGCTAATGACTCTTGCCCCCTAACTGCAAGCAGCGGATCCCTCCTCTCCCCTTGCCACTCTCCACGTTGGAGGCGCGACCAAAGCTGCTGTTCGCTAAATATCAAATTAATTATATTCCATGCACTGCAAATTAATCAAGTGGAACGCAAAAAAAGTAACAAAAACCAAAATCAACTCAAACACTTTCGAGCCAAAACTCTATTTAACCCCAAAAACATGCCACACCCCCTTTCCCCGCCCTCACCTGCTGGCTTGGAGTCCATTTCATTAATCACACTCAACACTAGGTGGCGAGGGGAGGAGCGGGAGAAGGAGGAAAGAAACGTGGACAGCTTCTGAATTTAGGGTTATGCAGAAGGGGCAGGTGTAGGGTAGGGGTGGAGGAGGGAGGTTGGGGCATGTCGCAAGCTGAGCTCACTTGTGGCCAATGTCAAATGGTTTTTGGCCAATGCTGTTGCAACTGCTGTTGCTGACTCTGCTTCAACTATAGATTATTTATTATATATTTGAAGAGATAATGAGAAAGGCAGGTTTGACTGTTGTTGTGAGGGGGCGGAGTGCATACTGCACTCATTTATATGAATATGACAATTATTGACGAGATATTTAACTTAAAATTGAGGCCCATTTATTAATTTAATGACAGCGAAAATTTACTGAAAAAATTAATACAGAAACTACAAAATAGTTTAAAATAAATTAAACGAAATTTAACATTCAATTTAGATTTAAAAAAATTTATAAATCATAATAATTGAATTATGAAAATTAAATATTAGACACAAATATAAATATCCATTCTGGCTTTGGTCCCAGCTAAGCTTATTTCCTATAGCATACCTTAGGGCATGCCATACAATTATGCCATAAATGCGTATAGCTTCGACGCCAACCCTAGCCGCGTGAAACTTGGAATTCTTATAGCAGTGCAATTATGGTACTCACTTTATAGCAGCTCAGCTATACTTTGCAGACGCCCTAAAGTATAACACAAACTCTCCAATTTCGCAATAACCGCGCGTAACGAAGTCTGGCACATACAGCCGCTAGAGGTCGCTTGCAACTCACCTGCTGCAAATGGTTTCTGCTGTTTGTCGCTTCAGTCGCACGATCGTCGGCATTCAAATCAGGTGTGTGCGAAAAGTACGACGGACGTAAAGAGAACTAAAAGCTGATAAGCAACGGTAAATTAGAGACAGCTGATATAAATAAAAAATTACAAATATTAAATAATAAAACTGAACCCTTATGTGCACTGTGAGTTAAAAATAAAATAAAAAAATAATAATTAAAATAAAGACAAATAGGATTGAAGCGCAAAATTAAATAATAATGAGGCAATGCGGTATGACATAGAGTGTTGCTTATGTGTGTGTGTGTGTGTGTGATAAGATAACAGATAACAGAAAACGCGTCTTTTATGATAAGAAGTGCTTCAAAAAACAAAAACACAACACAGTTTCAGCTAGCGAATTAGTCAGTAAGCAAAGAATGCCAGCCATCTATTGACAATAAATGACAATAGTTCAGTGTATTATGTGTGTGTGCTATATACAAATACGCATATCACACACAACACACAGAGGCGTTTTAAAGACGTTGCAAAAAAAAAAAGAAGAAATATAACACAATTTCAGGCAGCGAATTAGTCAATAAGCAAATAATGCCATTATCAATGACAACCATCTATCGATAGCAAATGACAATAGGAATGCTATTATGTGTGTGAGCGTGTGGCGTATACAAACACAGACACACACTCACAAACATATGAAATAATACTTAAATGTAATGGGAGATATGCTCATTTGAGCAGCTTCCGCTGGAAGCAGCAGCGAAAACAGTTTAAACAGAAAATATGCCAATGAAAAAATTAGAGATAGAAATTAGGTTACGGTTAAGAGCAGACATTAATTATAAACATATAAGTATATAAATAAAACTATATAATATATAAAAATAATATATATATATATATATGTATATTGATATATATTTAAATATGTGTATGTATATTTTTAAACTGCACTGTAAAGCAAAAATAAAAGCACGCGTAAAAGCGCAAGCATTCAGTTTGCGGAATCAAAGCGCAGCGGAACAATAACAACAAAAACAACAATCAACATCAAATTAAATTTAAAAAAAATTGTTACGAATACAAATCGGAAATAATTTGATTTTTGTGTGCATCGCTTGAATTATTTGTGTTCAGTTTCAGCTGAAAAAAATAGTCAAGCATAAATTACGATTACCCAATAAAAATATACTATCCAGCAGCGAAAAGAAAAGAATCCCTGCCTTGTTGGCTTCTCCAAATTTTTCTATATTCAATTCTGTGACTTATTCTGGAATATACAATAAACTTAAAATTGTATATTAAAAGTAAAGTAAAGAGATAGTGTAGCAGATAAGCAACCAATACATATAAGATATATATTGTCAAGGTTGTACTTGACTTCGAAGCTCTCACTTACAACTCTGCATAAGTAAGATTAATGAATCACATTTGGATGAATTGAGAATGCATTCGGTAATGAAATTCATTCATTAGTTCGCTGCTGGGTATATAAACAGGGAGAGGCGCATATAATTTCCAGGCCTGTTCTACTGTTAATATCTCATTGCAGACAGTAAAAGGAGACAACAAAATTCTCGTTAATAGCGTTACACTATATTCCAGCAGCGAACTACGCTTCCAGTTGGAATATGCCGCGACCTGCAATTAGTCGCCAACAGGTCGTTGGCCATTAACACACACACACACACATATATATACATACAGTTACGAATGTGACGTCATGTGAGGCAAATCAAGTGCAATGAATTTTGTGCTTTGTGTTTTTTATCTCTTTGGTCATTAACTTGTTGCATTGTTATTATTGTTGTTGTGGATACCTCCCGCTATCAGCTGTGCACCTTTCACATCGCTAGCGGAAATATTAATAATGCATTTTTAATAAATAACAACAACAAACAAGAAGAAGAAGAAGCGCAAAGACAACAATGCATTTTGTTCAAGTGCAGCCAACAAAAAAAGAAAGATTAAAGCTTCTTTGCTGATCGAACTTGCGATGCTCTTTGAAAGCTTTGAAAAAACAGAAATTGAAATTCGTTAGGTGAGCTTTAGATTCAGACAAAGGCCTCGGTTAATACTAGACGAGGAGAAGCTTTTAGTTCGTAATATGTAAATTATTAAATTTAAACTTTATAATTACTCTCAAATAATATGAAATTAATTTAAAAAATATGTTGCTTGTAAGCAGCTAAAAGTTAAATCAGCAATGCTGTTATATAAATGTTAAACAGTTTAAGCTGGTAATCATTCTTAAGCTGTTATATAAATGTTAAATCAGCTTAGGCTCTAATATGCATGGTTTTTCAGCATGCCTGCAATATGCCAATTACTTTACTCTATAACAGTAAACTTAAGCACATGTAACTGCTGTATAACAATATTGTTATGTTGTTGTTGTTATACACAGTCGCATTAGTGAGCGAAGCTTTTTGTCGCTTGTGTCAAGCAACAGCGTGCGAACCACAGTTAAAGCGAAAGAGAGAGAGTGAGAGGTAGCCAGGCAAGCCGACAATGCGCAATGGGCTTGGCCAGTTTCAACTCCCGCTGCCCGCAGCCAACTTCGCTTACCTCTACACTCTCTCTCTCTAACACAAATACTCCAACACACAGAGCACATTTTGACGTCGTCGTCATCGTCGCTACCTGTCAGGTGGCTGGTGACGTTAGTCGGCTTTGAGTAGCCGTCGCAACAACAACAACAACTGACCGCTGCGCAACAATGCGATTATTGAAACTGATAAGCTCCAAATGCGAACAACAACAAAACTAGTAAAAAAAAAAAAAACTGTGTAAAAATAAAAACTATGTTAAACAAGATATGGTAAAGACCATTGGCGATATTTGATTAACTAAAAAACTGATATGAAATCTATCTTAATTGCAGTTGAAATTTGGTGGCCCCAAAAACTGTACAGTAATTTGACGCAACAACAACAACAGAAGCACGCAATGGCCTCCAGCACTCCAAGCACACCCAGCACACCCCGTACACCTCCAACCCCCAGCAGCGATCTGGACACCCAAGTCAATGTGGAGGATTTGCCCATCACCTTCAAGGTTAGTAATCCGCTCACAAACAGAGCGCAAAAGTGTTGCTCAAATTTGGTAAATGCTCATGCACTGCGAAAAAATCGAACTGAATTTAAGGCCATTAAGAAAATTGATAATTGATAAATGATGAATCATAATTAATAATTAATAAAAAATAACAAATAAATATTAAATTACAAATATAAAACATCTAAATAAATATGTAAAAATATATAATCTAATAAATTTTAAATAATCCGTAACTGAAAATCTACTGTAAGAAGCAAATTAGAAATTTTCTTTCTAAATTTAAAAAAATCCACTCTGAAAAAGAAATTCAACTTTAAAAATCGAATCTCTGAATAATAAACTTGTTTACCCTTGGCGAATTTCTTAAAATCAGTTCGATTTTTTTTTTCGGCGAGTGTAGAGCGGGGGTTCATCAACTCCGTCAGCTCCATTAACTTGGCCCAAAAGCCACAATCGAATCGAGTTAGGCCAGAGTTAAAAAAATACGCACACACATTCGCCACGCCTCGCTGCACACGTCGAGAAACCCAGACTGAACCAACTTCCGGTTTTTGGCTGTGCGTGTGTAAAGGGCAACAGGAAGTAATTGTAACCCTCTGTGCTCCCCCCTCTTGCAGGTCAAATACATTGGCTCAGAGCCATCGCGTGGCTTGTGGGGCATCAAATACACCCGCCGCCCCGTCGATCTAATGGTGGGCGTGGCCAAGCAACTGCCACCGAATCGAGTGCTGCCCAACTGCGATCTCAAAGTGTCCACAGCCGGTGTTCAACTGGAAATCCTATCGCCCAAGGCGAGTATCAACAACTGGAGCTACCCCATCGATACGATATCGTACGGGGTACAGGATCTGGTTTATACTCGGGTCTTTGCCATGATCGTGGTCAAGGATGATTCGAGTCCGCATCCGTTTGAGGTGCATGCCTTCGTCTGCGACAGTCGTGCGATGGCTCGCAAGCTGACCTTTGCCCTTGCCGCCGCATTTCAGGAGTACTCACGTGTCGTTAAGGAGACAACAGATGGCGACGATCAGCTTGCCACGCCCAGCGATGCCATTACGCCCACACGGCAAAAGTTTGCCATCGATCTGCGCACACCCGAGGAAATTCAGGCTGGCGAATTGGAACAGGAAACGGAAGCATAGCCCAGCTATATATGCACATATATATGTATATGGAGAACGATATATGTTTATATATTTTTTGTATTATTTTCGAACTTGTGATTGTCATAGTTACTTATTGTTGTTGTTGTCGTCGTCCTTTTCTCAATCAATTGGCAGCTGCCTCATACAGCTAATTGCCCAAAGCCCAAAGCAGAAACTGCAACTGCAAACAAAACAAAACGGATTTTTTTATACGCGTACACTTAAATTAATATAAACAAACAAACAAGAAAAACAACTAATTATTTACTTTTGTTTAAATAAATCGTAATGAAATGAGTGAATGAAACAAAGTACATTTCCATATTTTTATGATTTCAATATGCTTTATTATTATTACTGTCAATATTGGCGATCTCCGATCGATCGAATACTTATCTGATATTCAAATAATATTCAACTAATCCTGTTTGTAGCTGAAATGCTTCAGCTGATTGACAAAATACTTGACTAATATTCAAATAATATTCAACTAATACTTTACTTAACTAATATTTATCTGCTTTGCTACAATATTTACATTATTGAACTAATCCTTTTCAAATCTGATCGAATATTTAACTTATATTGACATAATATTAAGCTAATATTTTCCTTAGCTTCAAAGTCTCCTCTTTAACTTTTAACTGTGATTGTTTTTAGGTTGCTTTTCAGTTGGCCATCTCTAGCGTCCAGGGGCTGAATGCCACTTGGCAAACTCAGACACTCAAACCCGTGCACGATGGAGTTCGCCAACCTTTATTAAATCCATTTCATCTACAAGAAAAACAAACCTGTCTTTAATTTTTCAATATTTTTTATTTAAAGTTTTTTTTTCAAATTTTTTTCTTATTTTTGATTGTTTTTTGTTTAAAGTCGAGGATACAACAAGGCTAAACTTAAATTTCAATGCTCGTGCAGAAATTGGCCATAAAAACTAGTAAATCCAAAAAATAAATAGTCAGCGGGAGAGGGGAGGGCAGACGAGAGACGGGACTCCTCCGGACTGGACTGGGTTGGGTTGTGCTAAGGCTAAATGTTTTGCTGTGTGTGTTTTTATGTTGTGGGCGGGAGGATGAGAGGCGTTGATAGCTTCCTTAGGAGCAGTTCCTCCCTAGCTGGCATCGGCGCGAAACAGAAAACGACGCTTGCGTGCATCCATGCTCGAATGGGATTTGGATTGACGCAACTCGGGCAGAGAGGCAGCTGGTGGAGATGAGGGAGCAGTTGAGGGAGCTGACGGTGATGAGGCAGATGATGGAGCTGAAGGAGCAGCGGAAGATGAAGGATCTGATGGAGCAGCTAAAGCTGAAGGTGCAACTGGATTAACAGCTGGAGCTGAAGGAGATGAAATAGCCAAATCAGCAGAAAGAGCTAAATCAGCTGATGGAGCAGCTTGAGCAGCTTGAGCAGCAGTAGCAATTGCGGCGGGAACAGCTGGAGCAGCATCCATCTCCTCCTTCGCCGGTTCAGCTGCCTGCACTCGCTTATAAATGGGCAGAATGAGTTCCTCCTGTTCCGGTTCCTCAGCTGCAACTGCCGCAGGTTTCACATCCAATTCCGCCTCCGACTCAGGCATCTTCTCCTGCTCCGACTCCTGCTCAGCCTCCTGCTTAATATCCTTGTTGCTCTCTATCAGTGCCATTGGCGCTGCTGCACCTGGTGTCAGCACCAGTTCCATTGGCGTCAGCTGTTCACCTTTGGGATTCTGATCCAAACGCTCCTTGACCAACTCCACAATGTCATCGATGCTGATCGGTGGCATATAAGCAGCTGTTGCCAGACTCTCCTCCTGATGCTCCTGTCCAGCATCATCATCTTGTTTGGGCGACTCCTCCATCGGCTTCGTCTCCTGGCTGAGCACCTGCACCGGTATTTGATAGTCGGCTGGCAAATGATTCAATTGCATAATCTGAATGATGGGCGAATCCTGCGCATCCTGTGAATCCTGAGTCAGCTTCAGCTTTGCCTCCGTTTTCAGCACCTGCTCCTCCACAGATGCATCCTTATCCACAATTTCCGGTTCGGGCAGCTTGGCTTCCTCAATGGAAACAGCATCGGCTTCCGTTTCGTTTGGGATTGATTGTTGTTGTTGTTGTTGCTCCTGCTGGACCTCAGCCATGTCCATCTCCGTCTGCAGCTTCTTCTCTGGTTGCTGTTCGTGATTGCGCAGCGTGTTTAAGAAATCAGTGATTAGCTGCTCCGCCTCGGCCGCCATGTGTGGATCGACGGGCTTGAAGCCACCAAGGGATTCTGGGACTTCATTACTATTGCTGCTGCTGCTGCTGCTGTCGAGCATCTGTTCCACTAGAGGATTGGTTTGTGTCATCTCTGGCGTTGAGGGTAGACTCACAGGTGCATCTGCTGGCTTGGCTGCTTCGAGTGCTTCTATATTGCTGGCAGATTGCTCCTCATTGGAGCTGTTACCGGGTTCTATTATAGCTGGTTCTGGTTCAGACTCCATCACAGCTGATTGGCTGTTCTCCACTTGCTCCACTTGCTCTATCTCTTGGGGCTTCTCCTCCAGCGTTTCCAGTATTACAGCGGGTATTTCTGGCATGGCTTCCAATGGTTTCATTTCCTCCACTTTCTTGATGACTTCCTCTGGCTTAGTTGACTCCATTGCTTCGGCATCTGCCTCTGCTTCTGTCACTGCCTCTGCCACTGCCTCTGCCACTGCCTCTGCTTCTGCCTCTGCCACCACAACCTGCTCCTTTTCCAGCTCAGCTATAGTCTCAGCCACGTCTGAAGCCTGAGCTTCTGGCTCCTGCTCAACTTTAACCAGTGTTGGATTCACAAACATTGTCTGCAATTTGAGCGTGGGTTGTGGTTCACTCAGCTCCGCCTGGACAATGGCTTCAGTTACTCCTTGTTCGCTCTCCTGGTTGGGTTTCTTGTTGAAGATTGCTGGACGTTTGCGTATCGAATTGAAGAGCTCGTTGCGTTGTGGCGTTGCAGGATTAACGGGCTTTATGACTTCCTGTGGCTGCTCCTTGATGGGATTAGCCGTCTTTATGCCTTGTGGCTGCTGCTTGATGGGGCTAACAGTCTTTAACGTTTCTTGTGGCTTTGCCTGGCTGGGACGACTGCTGAAGCGTTGTGGCTTCATTGTGGGCTTCACTGGCTTCATGGGATTGCTAGCAACTTCTACAGTTGTCTCAATTGGAGCAGGCGCTGCTATGGCTGCTGCCGCCTTCCTCGGTGGCTTGTTGTAGCTGAGGGCGGGCTTGCGGCGATTGGGTTTTGGTTTGGGTTTCTGCACCTTGACAGGTGGAGCAACAGCAGCAGCAGGAGCAACTGCAACTGGCTCAGCTGGCTCCACAGCCTGCTCAGCTGGGGCGGATGCTTCACTATCCTGATCCATTGACTCACTCTCCATGACAGCAGCTGGTTGCTTCTGTTGCTCCTGCTCCTGCTCCTCCACAGGCAGCCCAAAATTGGCATTTAGCTCGTAATAACGATAGCTATCCTCGCACTCAATGCCCATATCCTCTCGTCGCATGCAGGTGAAGGATTCCTAAGTGAAAAACAATCAATCAGTCAATCAATCATAATCAATCAAACAACCACTCACCTGACTAAAAATCGTCTCCTCGGGACAGATGAAGCTCCAGCGGAAGGTGTTCTCTTTGCCATCCGCATAAGTCACCGGCAGACAGACGTGAAAGATCTGGCAATCATTTTCCACATCCGCATAATAACCATAAGATTTATTTGCACACGAGAAATTATCCGTGATATCAGCCCGAATCGAGGTCGCATTGCTGGGCAGCGTTAAGGTGCCCGTTAAAGGAGCAGCTGCCACAGCATGTGCATCCATTTCCATTCCCATTTCCGTTTCCGGCAATTCAGGTCGGGATTCCTGCGGTGCAATGTCCTCTCGTATATGCTTCCTCTAAAGAGGGTGGGGAGAGGTGAGCTTATGATTAGCGTTGAGCATTATTCAGCTAACGGTGTTACGTGCTGCGCATGCGCAAAATGCCAAAAGAAAAATAAAATGTAATTGTAAAATGCTTCACGCAGCACGTGACTTGTGTTGGAAAAATTTCACTTATGTTCTAGTTTTTTTGGCGTTAAGTGAAAACTGAATTTTTTTATCTTTGTCCCCCCAAACCAACCCCCCAAAAGCTATGACTCTTATGCACTTCGCACCTGGTAGCTTTTTTTGGTCGTAACTTTCGAATGAAATGTTATCACATCGATATATTAACCATATCGGCATTATTATATTTTTTTATTTTATTTGAGACATGCATTTTAATGAGTAAAAATATATATAGCTGTCAAGTTGCTGGCAATGTCAGTTTCACTTCTCAATTTAATATTACTTATCAACATCTAATGCACTCCACTTTATGCCATCTTTTCCGCATCTTAGAAACTGTAATTTAATTTTGTTTGCATATTTGAATTTGGCGCCCTGCTATATTTTATTCAATATTTTTAAGCATCTTTAATTTGTTTGAATTGCTTGGATATTTGAATTTGGCGGCAAAATATAAAATGGCGTCGTGTTAGTTGTTGTAATTACATTTGCAGACTCTGTTAAGTGCAGCTTGAACTGCAGGCGGTAGTGTTAACAGCGCTCGCTTTCTTTCTCGCTATCTCTCTCTGCAAAGGATGCTTGCTGTTCTGCCGGCTGCTGCACCCAAAAATATTTGCGGCTTATTATTCGTATCAATTTTACCATGGTTGATAAAAAGCTAAGCGTTTCAATACATAATGCAAACAAATATTATAGCCGAAAATAAAGTTGTCTTATTAATTTGAAAACAAAGCTAAGAACTGCCTTAAAAGAATGCCAGCTGCAGCTGTCTAAAAATAAATACAGCACAGCAATAAATACCTACGCTTCAGCTGCAGTTAGCCGTTAAAAGGCTAAACGTTTGGCATATTAAGTGGCTAAAAGCAAAGAAGACAGCCGCAACACTTATGCAAATGTCTGCAGAGGAAGATGAAGAAGCAGACACTTTGACTTAAGCATGAATGAATGAGTGAATGACTCAACTGGCAGCCATTAATATGTCAGACAAGACAAACATTTTCATTAACTTAACATTTTCGTTAACATTTGCAATTTCCGCTAACAGACACAGCGGAAGTTGTCTGCAAATCGGAAACTAAAACAGATTCCGAAACGCACCTGATTCACAACTGGTCCCGCGTTGCAGCCGGAAGTGATGAACAGCATGCCACAGATTAGCTTCCACATGATGAACGGACGTTGCACAAATTATTCAGTTATATATCAATATATCAATATAATACACTTTTTTCTCTCTCTCTCTCTCTTTCAATTTAAACTCAATTACACATAATAATCCTTGTCGTGTGTGTGTGTATTGTGTGTGTGTGTGTGTGTGTGTCTAATCCAAATGGTATCCAATCCAATAAGAAAACCAAAGCTTGCAACTCGCACACAAGCTGTGAGGCACCGTTGGCTTCCAAATACTAACTGCGAACGATGAACCAAAGCGACGCCCAATTTATATATTCTCTTCACTCTGATTTATTAAGAATGCAAAAGGCAGAGAAAATCAAACAAATACCACAAACACACACGCGTTGACACTTTACAGGTGCGTGCGACAACAACAACAATTACAATGACAAACGTGACGTGTAAATGTGTGGAACGCGTTTTTGTGGAACGCAAGTTCACTTACTGCGAGAGAGTTTACATAGCATAACATGAGACAACCTACTTCGCGTGAGTGAGTTGATCCTCGGAGAGAGAGCTTTGCTTTGAAAAATGTTAAAGGATTAGCTGTAAATGTAAGCTGGTATATTCTTATCTTTTATTTATATACAGCTGTGATCAAAAGATACTTCAAATAAATCATAAAAATTGAATTTAACTGTAAATATTTAATTACTATTTCAGGTCCTGCACCGCTTTTCTCGCCCAACTCATAACAAAAAGATGATAACAAATAAATATTCTAGAATAATTTAGCAGCTGCGAACTTATTAATATGCCAAGCACTGTTAACCAGATCAAAGGTAACAACAAGATGTTAAAATTGAAGACACAGATTTACTTTGAAGAGCCGCTGGCTGGAAAGAGTGTTGGGGAGGGGTAGGGATAGAAGTAGGGATAGGCAGTCAATTGAATAATTAAAAACAAATATAAATTTATTACTAGCTCAATAATTTTTTTGGAAACTCGTAATTTCCGATGCCATTGGCCTTTGTAGCTTTCGCTTTTTTCGCTATACGTGATATTTGATACAACAGGGGAAGGGGCAGTGACGTGGGCGGGGATAGTGTGTATCAGTATAGAGTAAAATACTCGTTAAATTAGAAATTCATAATTGACGCGTAATACTCGCGTACGTGTAGCCAAGAGGCAAACACACACACACAACACACACAAAAATATTTGAAAGCATTCTAAATTATTAATGCGCCTTAAAAAGCCTCGATTGTTTTTTTTTTCTATTTTTTTATGATGATGATATTTTGTTTGTTGCATAATCCTTTGCCTCGCTTCTCCCACTGCTGTAAGTGAGCCATTGAACCCCAATGAATATTTTTATTCATCTTCTTTTTGTCCATTTTTCTTTTTTCTTAAAGAGAATCGTAGCTCATCAAAAAGATCCCACTTGGTACACATAAAATTGCAATCTCACGTCGCCTCTTCTTCTTCCATTCCTCTTCATCTTCTTCCACTCTGTGGACAATCTTTCGAGTTTAATCTGTGACAAGTCTCCACTTGGCTCTTGCTGGAGGCACTTTATGGATAAATAATTTCTTGGTAATCAGATGATGCCACAATGCACATTAATAATGCCTAGAAGCTAACTACTCAGAGCGAAAAAAAAGTTGGAGTATATCAACCAAGGAATAGAATTCAAAAGTTAAATCTTCATTTTTATTATATCAATCATGGAATGGAATTTCTGACATTCAACTTGATTTAAAAAAAAAAGGCCCAATTCGTTTTGTCTGCAAAATGAATATCAAAAACATTAGTTAAACTATAAGACAGGCTGCCGACTAACAACTGGGTTAAGCTTTCTTTCCTTATAATAGTATTTTGTTTGTGAGTTTGATACTGCCTACCGTAGACATTCAAGCATATTAGAATGTTGAATGTTGATAGATTGATTAGAATCAGGCCATTAAACGAATTATTTGTTAAGATATTTCTGACAACATTGTCCGCAAGTGTATAATAATAATTTCTCCATTTGGTGTCTATGGCAAACAAGCTGTATGCAGACAGCAAATAATCAATAATCAAACACAACTTCTTTCCAATAAAGCGATTACCATATTATATATACACATATTTGTATATGGACAAGTCAGATATGGTATATGGGCAGCTAAATTGCTCTTAAGTAGATGTTAACTCTTCCACTTCGCAGGTGCATTAAAATGCCTGCATGTAATTTTTGCGCACTTGGCAACAAACCTAAAACCTTAAGCGCATTTTGGCTTAAAGCAGAACCAGCTAAAAAACGATCGACAGACAGACAGACAGACAGACATTTAAACGTGCTGCGATATGAAGCTTTGACAACAGGGCAAATATTCTACAATTGGCAAAAAAAAGAAATAAAAAAGGAGAAAACCTGACTGGAATTATGATAAGCAAATTATGAATAGTTGGAGATTGAACAAAGAAGCAGTCGGACTTGGGCATTATTGGAAAACCGACGAAATGCCAAAGTTTAGTTTGGATTTGAATTTGACTTTTCCTTTTTGGCTGCTTTTTTAAAATTTATTTAATGCAATGTGAAACACGTGTTACTTTCTAAAATGCAAATCAAAGTGCAATGGAAATGGAAGCACTTTTCAAAAAATATTTAAAATATATAAAAAACCAAAAAACTCTATTCAACTCGACACGTGGGCGTAGGTAACAGAAAAACGCTCGGAGAACGTGTCGTATACGTGATGCAGTCACACTTTCTAGTGCGACACATAAAATTCAATTTAAATTCAATTAATTAAATGGCCAACAAATGACCAAAATTGACAGAAGCACGTCGTCGACAGACAGAAGACTGTCGTTTTGTGGAGCAAAGTGCGCTTAGAAATTTTGCACAATTTTTGCACACTTAGCAACCCTCCCCCCAACTTCCAAACTCCCCTTTATCCCTCGCTCGTGACGCAAATGCTTCCTTTTTTAAGGGGGCAATTCTGATTTGCTTAGCATATTTTTGGCACAACACGCACGTTGAATTGAACCGTTATTTCACCGACATCCAACGCCAACGAGAATTTCAATTGATTTTTTTTGTATGTTTGTGCAAAACCATTGAGAACAGATTGTAGATGGTATCTGCATGATATATGGACGTACGATATTTACAGCTGCCAAAATAATAATAGCACCACTCTCTCAAAAGGAATGCTTCCGAAGGTTTCTTTTTTGTAAATTTGTAGATTTAAGTTGTGAAGAAGACTTTGAATAAAAAAGTGAGAAAGAAAAAAAAACATTCTTTAAATGTATTTATAACTGAAATTAAAATAGGAGTACTAAAGAATATATTACAAATCAGGATTGGAAAATGGTTTCTTTTGTCAATCATAAGGAAAAATGCCAGAGTGGTGCTCTACTTTTTTCGCAACTGTAGCACTAGATCTCTGTAGGGAGACCACACCCACAAAACTCGGTCAGCTTTGCCGCCCACAATGGAGCGTTTAGAAAGTGCTGAAGGAAAGAAAACTAAACTATTTATTTGCCTCTCTTTCTCTGATCAACATCAATTATGTGGCACACGTTTGCAGACAGGCAGACACCAAAACCAACACCATCAAGTGTGGCTCCCACGCATCGCGTTGCAATCGAATTTTTATGGGGGGCAATTTCATTGATTTTAATTTTGCTAATGATAAGCATTTCTTTGCACGAACCCCACGAAAAACCCACAAATGAGCATACTGTAATCGAGTCAGCTCGACTGCGGCATACCCTTGGCAAGCGCAACTCTCAACTGCCTCAGTCAACGACCAGTCGGCAACTAAATGCAAACCAAGTTGCACAAGACGAGAGCTCCAACAGCAGAGCAAAGGAAGAGCTCGCAACAAGAGGGAAGGCAACCGAAGTGAAGCCCGATCGGAAAGCACCAACTTGTATTCGTCGACATGTATGTGTATGTGTTTATGTATGCACACAAACATAGGCATATAAACACACACACACACACACCGAAGCTTGCTTCGATCAACATGCCATCTTGCCATCTCTCTCTCGCACATGCAATAAGTACTCGCAGCTGTTTATAATAATGAGATCGATATGATAGAATATATTTTCGATTATAACTTGGGTATTTCTTATGCGATCAAAATATATCAATGTATATTATGTATCAGTTAGAAGCCATGTGGGAGCTGCTTTCTACTGCCTGTTACATACGTGCGCTATAAAACAGTATATCCTTTATTCAAAATGGTGCAGGGTATAAACAGCAGCAGTGGGAGCTCCCACTTTTGATAGCTGCCTCTCGATAAGGCGCATGTTGCGGCATTTTAATTCGCTTTTCTTTGGGCAACCTCCCCCCCCCCCTACACCTCTTGCCGCATGTTGCATGTTAATAGCGAGACAGAGGGAGATAGAAAGACGAGGTTTTCTTTCAATTAGTGCATTCGCTTGAGTCTCAAGTCGAGTCGAGTTCGAAGTCTGACTTTAAACAAGGTCAATATCAGTAGCAGTGGAAACTAAAAACGTGTCAGAATGTTGCATGGACCTTTCTTCACTTTCTTTTTTAATCGAGACTTGGGCATTTCCTCATTGGGTGTCGATGTCAATCAAAACGATAACAAGCCATCCAATTCATTTCAGCCATAAATTGGCTTGTTTGTCGTTTGTCAAACACGGCAATTTATTTGGCTATTTGCAGCACAGATTTTTGCCAGTGCCGAAAAATAATCATATTCAGCATTGGAGGCACGTCGTCACCCATGCGAGTCTTATTGTGGCACGTAGCACCTATTTGGTATTACGGAGCAGCAGCACTTCGCTCTAGAATTGGGCCACAAATTAGAATCAGGTGCACGGTCGCATTGGTGAAATTTTCAAATTCCACAAAGAATTGACCGCATTTCAGACTTATTCGCTTTGCCGGCTTACAAGTCATCTATGATGGCTCAGGAAGTCAATATCTATTTATATCTATTGAGTACAGATATCAAAACATGATCAGCATGATAGATAAGGTTAAAAACTTCGTATCGGGCTTAAGCTCAGTTTTTGACTAAATAAATTTGTTTCATACTCTAAATAAAATCACAATTTTGGTTTAATCCATTGCCTGCATCCAGCTCAGTTGTTGCCAAAATATTTCTTCGTGTCTCAGTTGTTGCAAGGCAATATCCATGTTGCTCCCTCAGCTTAAGATATTATATAAATACATTTGTATTTCAGCTCCAAATAAATACACAACATTTTCGTTGAATCCATTACACATTCAGAAAGGCTTTTAATATGGTTCATAACATTTATAACATACGTATTCAATAAATAAATAAATCAAATAAATAACTTACAGCTAATTTGTGCGTCCAAAGATGCAACATTATATATATATATATAAATTATATATATTTAATAGCTAAGCAATTGCACTTTGTCTGCATTTATGTTTATTTTTTAAAGCTTAAATTAAGGTATTGGACATTGCACTAAAATCGAATAAATAAATTTCTACTAAGGCGGGGTTACAACTACAATTGTTTTACTGGCATTTTCAGCTAAAATTAATTTCGAACTAGGACTCGAGGGATTATTTAATAATCAGCGTCATAATTGCGATTAACTAAGATAAACGACATATGGTATATTTATGTGTATATGCCGCACATATGTATATGTGGCACGTGCCACACAACTACTACTGCCACTGATGCTGATTGCCGCGATAGGCCAAATAATGTGCATCGTGTTGCGGCTGCTGCTGATGATGCGGCCTATTCTGATAGCTGTCCGTGGAGGAGTCGATATCCTCGACGGAGGGATCCGTTTGCAGGGATCGCTTCCAGTAGCTGCCCTGTTCGCCCCAATCCTCGCCATGATCCTCATAATGGTGCTGATGATGAGCATGTTCGACATAGACAACCTAGTTAGACAAAATGATCCAAATATGCCGTGGAGTGAGAAAAACACCAAAGGAAATACCAAAGAGACCACAGTTTGTGAGAGTTGTCAGTGTGTGGGTTTGTGTCTGTGTGTGTGTGTGTATGTGTGTGTGTGTGTGTATAACAATCAGAGTTTATTTTGGAATGGAGAGGGGGGGACGACACTAAATCAGAGGCCAATACTTACATCGTGGATAAGATTTTTGGCTACGCTACTTTTTATAACATTTTAATTATTGTTTTTTTATTATTTTTTTGGGTTTGGTTTTGGTTTTTTGGGGGGCATTTTGAATTTTATGTACTGTTAGCTGTAGCTGTCCAATTAGTTTACCATATCTGAAACCAAAGAGGTCTGAACATGTTAGCATTTGGACATCTTGTTTTGTTTGTATTTTTTGTGGGTAAATTTGTTTTGAACTGGAAAACGGGAAACCGCAGCTGAAGTGAAACAGTTGAAAACCTATATCTGTGTACTCACATATGTATATATAGTAGTTATTTGTACAATATGTTCTTCAGATAGAGTATATATATATAGAGGTAAAGGAGAAAAATAAAAGAAACAGTCAACTGGCAACGGGCGGGTCAACAAACCTTTTTTTTGCCGAGCAGTTTTGCTTAAAATTAACAACAAATTTTTATGACTGAAAAAAGGGTGCAGCAGATTTTTGTTTAGAACAAGAAATATTCGTAAATAGGTCTCTTAACCGGAACAAGTTGTTCGTGTGTGTGTGTGTGATCCAAAACAAAAAAAAAACAACAAATAATAAACAAATAGGTACACTCTTAATTGGGCGCCCTTGAACTCACCTTGGCGGGAGTACCGCCCCGCTTCACATCGATCCAGAATCGGGCTATATTTATGAGCAATCCAATCAGGGCTATGGCAAAGAATTTGACCTGCAAATGGGCACCCAATATTTTCAGGAGTAACTCGATTTTCGACTTCAGCAGTGAGCCAATCAGCACCAGTTTAGCGAATGCCTTCCTCTTCTTCTTCTTCTTGCCGCGCGTAACTGTTAAGCAGGATTTTTTGTCGATTAACTGGTGCTCAAAAAAGAACTAAAGTCTAATTAATAAAAAAGTAACGCATAATCAAATAACGATTTAACGATATTTATCGCTTGGGAGGGTGGTGTTTGTTAGTATGAACTGCAGTGCGCGTAAGTGCGTTAACAGTAACGATAACGAAAACGGCAACGGTAACGATAACGATAACATATCAAATCAGGCAAAATATGTACAAAACATAATACTTAAATCTATAATCGGCTCTATAACTTATGCAACTGATAAAAGCCTGCTTTCTGGTTGAAAAAATAAGTTCTTTTAAAGCCAAAACTGGAATCCACACTTTTAATGAACTATTAACCTGTGTGGAAAGATCAAAATTTATGTATTTTGTTCTCTTCCAATTCGAAATGCATAAAGTAAGTTGTGAAAGAAAAAATACAAATAATAACTATAAATTAAGTTAAATGTCAAGAAAACATATTGCAAACTCGATTTGAAAACCGAGCTTAAATGGAAAGCAATATTCAAATTCAAACTATTGCATAAATTATGTAGCCGTTAAAAATGCAGTTCAAATGTAGCTGGCTGCTATGACAACACACCGCCACCACAGTAAACTGCTTGTCAAGCAGTACACATGCTGTGCATGACTGACGCGCAGCTGGCTGCTATAGCATGCAAACCAAAAGTATTTATGTAAATTTAACAAACTTAATTATACGCTTGCAGAGCTTACTTTAAGTTTTTCACTGCTCTGCAAGTGTATTTAAAAATTGGCAGGCCAAAGTTAAGATTTCTATAGATAGATAGGCACTAAAAAAGTTGTGCTTAGGAAATGGTGCGAGTAAGTCATTTTTGTTTTAAAAACCACACGCAGCAAACAACACACACCTCCGTTACTTCTACCATATTTTGTGGGTTTCTTATGCTTGCGCTTTCCTCCGCCGCCTTCGCCTACGCCTCCAATTTCCGGCACATCCAACAGCTCATCGAGCAGACCAAGTCCCAGTGAATCACTCGATTCCTCCACCTGCCACGTGGCCTGTTGCTGACCCTTCTTCTTACGCTTGCCACGTTTTTGTTTGCGCTTCTTTGCGGGTCTACCTCCTCCTCCATGTCCTCCTCCTCCATGTCCTCCTCCATGTCCTCCGCCATGACCTCCTGTGGAGATGCTCTCGTGTTCATCGTGATGCTCTGGCGCTGCTTGCACCACAACCAATGTTGCAGGTTGTTCTTGCTGCCCCTTTTTCTTCTTTTTCTGCTTGCGTTTCTTATCTTTCTTGCGCTTGCTTCCGCTTGGTTTTTTGGCTGCACCCGCAGCCTCCGCCTCGCCATCCTCGAGCTCTATAAACTCCACGGCGCCAGATGTGTTATCCTCACTGAACACAGAGGTTGCCACTGGTGCAGCATTTGCTGTGGCAGCTGCTGCCTGTCCACTTTCATTTTCTGGATCATCCTCAGCATCTTCCTCTGCCTCATCCTCCTCAGCATCGCTCGTCTCCTGATCACCGCTATTGGAAGCGTCTGCCTCCGTCTCCTTCTCGTTCTCATCCTCATCTTCCGCACCTGACTCTGCCTCTGCCTCTCCCTCTGCCTCTCCTTCTGCATCAGCATCCCCCTCCGTATCCGCATCTGTCTCCTCATCATAGTCAGTATTTTCACTATCATCTGCCGACTCCGGTTTCGATTCGTATTCACGGCCAAGGAAACTAAGCGTGACAAGAAATAATAAAAAAAATGAAGAAAAACCAGATAAATAACCTGAATCTAAGGTAAACTTGTTGCAGTTGTTGTTATTTTTACCCGTCCATCGTCTCGGCCAAATATTCCTTCATGTATTTGGTGCCGATCTCGATTTTCTTGAGCAGCGTCGATGGCTTCTCCTTGATGGGCAGCTCCGAGGCGCTATAGCCACGTCTCTCAATCGTTGCATTCAGCTGCCGATCTGCTTCAACTGTAAGAAAAATATCCAACAAATACACACCAAATATGTAAATTAGCTGCATTTCAGATGTACGAGTATTTCAGAGCTGCAGTTCAAGTTGTCTGTTGAACTTTTCTATTCATTTTTGTTTTTTTTTTTATTTTTTTGTTTTTCATTTGTGTCTTTGGCAAATTTGCAAGTTTCACTTGCCACTTGCAACGGGGTGAGAAAAAAGACCTAATTATCACATCTTTCACTCGAAAACAAATTGCTAACCTTTCAGCTTTTGCCACTGCATATGGAGTTCATCATCCCAGGCATCGAGAATTCGAGCCGTTTTCTGTTTGGCACAGCCCCAGGGCTCCAAGCGAATGGGACACAAAGCCAGATCCACATAAGGTGAGATATCTGAAAGAAAAACAAGTATATAATATAATCTATTAAATTAGATTAAAACAAAATATATATAATAACAACAAATAAATAATTATCTATATTTCATTAGATTGTCTGATGACTTTGATGTCTCCTTGAGAGATTAATTCATGCAAAATTCAGTGGAAATTGGTCTGATTTCTGGTTAACTTTGTTTGCAGAAGTTGATTTTTTGATTGTTGTCTGTTGGTTTGTTGATTGCTGTTTGGCTGGCAAAGCAAGCGTAAATATGTGAGTGAAAGCCAATGCAAAAGCATCCACTAACCAATGACCACTGGACGGTAACCACACATAAATAACAAGCAGCAGCAGCAAACAACAGCTGATAACACCTTGTGTGGCGAATGCTTTGTTGTCGTTGTTCTTGTTGTTGTTGTTGCTGCCACAGTTGCCACATTGTCAGCGACGCATGCCATGTTTAAAACATAGTTATTGCTTGGCTCTCGTTTGTGGTTTTCTTGTGGCAGCCACAATTAAGTGAAAATGTGCAAAGCCTAACAATTAGTCAGGCATTAAAAAGCTGCGGCGACTTTAAGCATCTTAATTACCCTAATTAATTTCAAATTCAATTGACAACTTATTGCAAAAACAACAATTGTGATTAATTATTATGATTGCAGTTGGCCAACTTTTAATTGACATGCTACCTGTTGCAGGTGGCAACTGCACCAACTGCGCCTCGTGATAAGTGAAAATCACTGCTTAAAATAAGTTGTACTTTGACCCAAGCCAATATTGTCATTCTGCCACCAGTGTCAAGTGAAAGCTAAACTCTGAAGTCAGCACCAGTCCAATGGGACTAGGATGCACCATTGGCCATGTGAAAAAGAAAAACAATATTAAAAATAGCAAAGTCCCATGGATCCATAGGATGCAACATTGGCATTTTGGCCATGTGAAAAATTGTTTGTTTCGCTTGTTTCGTGGTGACATCCAAGCAGATAGAAATCCTTTTACAGTTTTTGTTGCTGCTGCTGATGCTTGCAACCCACGCGGGAGAGGAGCCAGTAGTACACTCAGAAAAAATCTCACTAAAAATTGGAAAGTTTTCCTTGCTCTTAGAAATGATTGTTGAATATATACTAAAATATTTTTCTTAAAATTAAAATAAGTTGACCTCAAGATACAATTCTCACTAGAATGCTCTCGAATTACAGTCTATCTGCTAAAATAAATAATGAATAATAAATCAAAAATAATAAACAATAGATAATAAATGATAAACAAAAAATAATAGTTAATAAAGCTATCAAAAAAGATGGAAAAACAACACCCTGAAAATTAGACATATTTTAAGAAATGTAAAACCATTTTCTTAGCAAGCCACAGCCTTCAAGCTTAGAAATTTACTTGCTGAATAATAAGATGAATTACACTTGACGAATCTCAATGTTTTCTCTGAGTGCAAATAGTAAGTAGCCAGCAGCAGGCAGCCTGCTTCCTCAGTTGTGCTGTGTATGTTTAACATTTGTTTGTGCTTTGTTTTGGCATCTTATAAATGTGCCACATTAAGCCTTGGCACTCGATCGGTTGCCTGTGGATGGGATGCAACAACATCACTTTTGTTGGGCGTGCAACAAAATCACGCTTTCCTACCCAGTCGCCCCCGCCCCGAACGACGAGCTAATTTCGGATTACGATTTGAACTTTCACTGCAATTGAAATTTATGCGTGGCCCATGGTTATTGTGGTTGGGCTTGTTGTTATTGTTGTTGTAGTACTTTTGACTAAGAGCAACAATCACATGCACTTTGGGGGCGTGGTTAATGTGCCGCCTCCAAACTTGATGATGGGTGACGCGTCTCGTCTATTTGCATGCTGAAAAGCAACTTGGCCCATTGACTGGACTGTAAAAATAAACTGTAAACTGTAAAAATAAAAGTGGACTGCACTCTGCGTTGGGCATGTGGGCCAGCTGGCCAACTGGCTAACTGGCCAACTGGCCAACAATTATGTGGCCAGTTGCGGCCGTAAATCTCATTTAACTACAGCCATCGGCAATATTTGTAACAGTAGCTCATAAAATATGAACATAATCACGCGAAATTCTAAACGACAATCCCCGAAATCAACTTGTAAAATTGTGCAAAGTTATTGATTGTTGCCTCGAGCTGGGCACCTTTTAGTTAGAGTTAGTCGTGTCTCCAGTTAGCCTGGTTCGTAGAGAACTAAAATAGGGCCCTTAATTAGTCACTTATATTGGTAAAAGGTCTAGCATTATTTATCATTCATAGCTAAGTTATGCAAATGAATATGGCATATGACATTCCATATTCTTTCAATTTGCTGTCTTTGAGTTTTTTAGAACAAACAACTGTTTTTTTCTTCTTTTTTTAAGAATTCTTCATTGAAATAGAAACTTGTGTCCCAACTTTGCATTACCGTTAGCCAATAAATGTGTGCGCCAACAACAACCACAATAATAACAACAACCAAAATGCTACTCAATAAACTTTCACTGGTTTCGATCAGCACCCGTTTTTTTTATTTTTTTATTTCTATTTTAAAGAAGCGCAGAAATCCGTGAACAACGTGTTGCTAACGTGTTGTTAGCTACGCAAATCCAAACACACACAACCTGAGCTCTCTTTTAACCACATTCAATGTCACCCAATACGAGATCTGATCGAGTTAGTTGCAAGCCAAACTGGGCAATTGAGCGACTTGCCAGCCATGCAATTAAAAAATGAAATTTCATTTCGTGGAAGAAAAAATAAAACAAAAAACACAAGCAAAGAAAACAAACACAAAAAACAGCAGCAGACAGTCCGTCATCATTTAGTTTGTTTAATTTTTTCTGTACATTTTAGTTTTTTTTGCGCACTGAGAAATTGTTGTCAATGCCGGCAACGCGGAGGCAGATTTGTTTTCATTTTTCCAGTGGCCAACAAAAACAAAAACCCAACCAAACAAGACAAGGTGTAGCCACATTCACACACGCACACACACCTAACCACACACACACACACACATACACACACATGACGGTTATAACCCAATTATGAACAATTTTCAGGTTGTTTTTTTGGTGTCAACTCCCCACAAAGACGCCTCGATTCTGACTCGGCCTCACTTTACAGGTATTGTTTTTGTTTCTGCTTGTGTTTGTGTTTGTATTTGTGTTTTCTTATGTTTAGCCAAGTGGTCAACAAAATCTGGCACTATAACATGACTTGACAAAGATATCATTTGGATATTGTCTGCTTAACTTACATTGTTGCGCTTTTGCTCTTTGTCTTTGTGGAGAGTCACACAATTTGAATAGGTATGCAAATACAAGTTCTTTAATTGATTGTCCGTTATAGAATTAGAGATACTCTTGTGATTGGCTGGGACAAAATTGGCCTACAAATTCGGTAGTTCTTCTTCTTTATAGAATTTAGAATTTATAAGCTATGTAAAAAAATTTGCAAATATGAAATATTATTATTATTATTTTGTAAATATGAATATTAAATAATAATAATATAGGTAGCAAAAAAGCTAATATAATAAATCTTCTATGTTAAAAAGCCAATAAACTAGACATATTTTATCTAAATTTTAGAAAGATTCACACTGAAATTAATACACACAAACCTTACTTGCTGATCAAAGAGACAAGTTACACTTGGCGCCAAAAGTATGGCGAATTCCTAAAATTTAGGACGAATTGAGTGTGGCTTAGTGTTAAGTCATTAACCAGGTAGACCTGCTTTAGCCACACTCAGCCCACACCTAAAATCCAATTAAGCTATTTGCACTTTTACACTTTTCCAGAAGAGAGTATTTTGGCTTCGTTGTGTTAAAGAGCATGTAAGGCATGGATGTTCACGGCTTTTGTCATGCCTTTAACTGCGAGCTCTTTAATGACTGCACACATTGTGTGAAGTTTGTTTCCCGGCACACCTGACACCCTTTTTTGTGGCTAGTCCTCAACAAGTTCTGGTTTTAGTTATAAGTACTTCATACTTCATACTTCACACTCCATGACCCATATTACATGGACTAAGCTGGGTTTTCTGTTGCTGTTTTTATGGCTTTATGGCAAGTGTCGACCTCGAGCTAATTGCTAAATGTTCATTGCTGATTATGCCAGAAGTGGAGCTATGCACATCGGAGCCAAAACAAGGGGGGAGGGGGGAATGCGTATGAGCATTGAGCATTGAGCATGTCACCTGCTCTAAAAAGGCCCATCAAATTCATGTATTCCACGTTATGCTGCACTGCCCAAGAAAGTCAGCGTTAATTATCCATGTCAGTTTAGACCTGCACTCGTTGGCATTGTCTAGTAGATTATTATATTAAGTGAGATCAGTCTCTCGGCTCAGCTCTTAAGTGATACTATGATATAATGGCGCTAATAAATTGCAATGCGCTCTCACATTTAACTTAATGAGCAAAAACCATAAAACAAAATAGTAATAATAAAAATTCAAATTAAAATTTCACTACAATAAAATGAAAAACAAAAAAGAAAAAACTGACTCAGCTGTAAACTAAAAAACAAAAGTTTTTACTTACCATTCAGCTGGCGAGGAACTGGTGTCGTTGCTGTTGCAACTGCCACCGGCTTGTCTGCCACAACTGCTGACCACGCGGACTCCAAGGGTGCGGCGGCAGGCAGGCTCCAGGCATGCAGCAGTGGCAAACAGAGCAGCATCAGCGGCATCCAGAGCCCAGCACCAGCTGAGTAATGCTGCCACTCCATTTTTGGCAGTATGTTCAATCGCTCAGGTTTGTATTTGTTTCACCGTTTGGCGTTGAATCGGTTTGTTTTGTATATATTTATATATGGTCTATAATCGCCTATTACACCTATCGACACGCACAAAAAAGAACGGATCTTTGTTCCATATTTGTTAGGAGTCCCCGCAACGTTTATCTTTTTTCCAATAAATATTCAATAATCTGCTACGCCGGCGTAGTCCAAGCACACACACATAGATACACACACACACAGACAGCTGATGAGCGATCTTAACACGAGCAAGTTCAAGGTAGGATTGAGCCATGACGCGCATACGTAAGAAGTTTTATACCAAAACCAGCTGCAGACTTCGACTGCGACTTCGACTTCGGGCTAAGAGCGCATTGTGAAAGCTGGCTCAAGCTGTTGGCTCTCTGTGGAAAGTTAACTGTGTAAAGAGCCAAAAGAGCAAGCGCTGAGCTCTCGCTGCTTGGTTTTGGTCAAGGCGGTTTACCTTTCGGCATTTTTGTGGCCCATGTGCGGCATGCATTATATTGCCAATTATGCAGTTGCCTCAATTAGGGTATCCACTAAATGCATATCGAGCGTCACACCAAATGATATCCGTGGAATTGACCAAAAGTGATGAATGAACTTAAGCGAATTGTCTGCATTTGAGCAGAAGAAAACTGTTTGGAATTTGGAATTTGGCTTATAACATTTAAATTTCTTAAAACAATACTTTGGCTTAGGAGGAATGTTTTCTGATGTTGTCTCAATTGGGGTCAATCAATACCTTTTATCAGAATTGACTAAAACTAATAACTAAACTTGAGAGAATTGGCAGCATTTCTTGCATTGTCAATTGTGCGTCAATTAGAGGAAAATACTGATAGAAACAGAAAAGAAACATTTAAATTTGGCTTGTAACATTTACACATTTACTTATTTATTATTTAAAAAAAAAATATGTATATATAAATATATACATACATATAATTAATTAATTAATAAAGATACAAGCTTAAGCACAGACATATTAAAATGCAAACACCCAATTTACCGGGTCGAGCATAATGATGTTCCACTACGTTATTTTGGTGCCGATACGGTATTTTTTTTTTGACAAATTAGGAGGAATGCAGTCTTACCAAACTTTTCATTTAGCACCCGTTTAAGCGCCGTACGCATTGCGTAAATAGTTTGTTAATTGAATTAACGTCGTGTTTGGGCAATTTAAACAGTGTTGCATCACTAACAAATTCTGTGTTGCGCACACTATCAAAAAATGAAAGCTTTCTCAGTGTTTGCAGCCCTTCCCCAAAAACGCATTTGGATAGTTGTTCTTTTATTGACCCCATCAATTAACAGGCTAATGTGATTTGCGTGTAGGCTGACTTTTGGCCCTTTTCTTTCAGTCCAGTTAGCCAAACACATATTTTTGCGCCTGCTCTTAGACACCTGTCACTTGCTTATTTAGCTGTCTTTGATGAGGTGACAAAATGAAAGTTGCCAAAAAAAAAATGTGAAAAATTAATAATATTTAAAGCGAGGAATCGATGAAATTGGGTGTGCTCGCAAAGCACTCAACAACACTCACATTTTGATTACGAAATTGCAAAAAATGAAACAAATAAGAGAAGTAAAATTAGCAGGCGAGTCACGTGGCCTAAACTCGCTTAACAATTTCACTTTCATGCCAAGCAGTGAGCTGCCAATTAAATCGAGGAATAGGGCAGCCACAAAAAGAAGATGCCGTCTGGCTGACTGGCCATCCTCTTATGTCCATGCACATGTCCAATTATCATGTTAGGAAGAGAGACACGCTGTTGACAACGTCAACTGTAGCTGGCTAGCCCAGTGTCACCATATTGTCAACATCTCCAACGGCATCTCTAAAGACATCTCCAGCGACATCTTCTATCAGGTGCAATTATCCACAAGAGCTGCCGCTGCTGCACATGATTTGTGGCTGACTGGCAAAATCTGTGGAATGAAAAACCTTCATCGCATTTCAATAATCGCATTGCAGCTGCCCGCTGATTCGCTGTTCGTTGTTCAGCAGCGTTAGAAAGCAGTGAAATTGTTGCGGTCAGCCGCAACTACTCTTCGATTTGGCTCCAACAACTTGTAATATATAGCCACGCACTTGTCCATTGTCCACTCCACTCTGCCCCACACGCCAAATACTGTGTATCAATTTCTAACTTGGGGAAGTGACCATTTATCTCAAAGCCACAGCTTACAGCTTGAGCCAAACTCAAAAATATTTTGTCTATATTTGCATTTTGTTATTCATGAAGTTTCCTTTCTTTTAGTTCTTAAATTAAAACCAATAATATCAATTTATAAATGTAATTCGTATTCTATTAATTAATTAATCGAAAATATCTCTATATTTGCTTAAACAATAAAAACCACTATGGTAAATTTGGGTTCACTAATTTTCCACTATAATATCTTTAAAGTCTGTAATTACAAATTTAATTTGTAATGTATTTTTCAATTGGGGAAGTGACCATTTATCTTGAGGTTTTGCTACTTGTGGCTTACAGAAATGATGTCAACTGCTTGCAGGTTGAGGGGAACTCAAAAATGTGTCAATATTTGATTATGTTTGAATACAAAAAGATGATTATTGATTTCAGAATGTTTCATTCTTCTACTTCAAAATCTTAATTTAAAACCCTCGATCTCAAAAATGTAATTTTTATTGTATTGTATAAATAATAACTATAATTACTAAATTAAACCACAAGTATCGATGTCAACAGCTTTCAGCTTGTGTAAACAAATATCTCTTGCACTCATCTCATTTCAAAAATAAATAAATTAAAATCTTGTGTTAAAATACTAGCTGAAGATTGTTCATCAAAAGTAAATGGAGTCATATATGCTTCTTGATATAAGATTATTCATTTATCTAGCTGGTATACCTTCTTTTGCTACTGCCTAGGGTATTAAAATTCCAACCGCACCATATTTTTTACATTATGACTAATTAATTGGCGCGCTTAACACCAATCTTATTATACGGCAAGTCTAAAGCGCTTTTAAGTCTTATTTGGTTGAAAACAACAAATCTATACATATAATTGACAAGCCGAAGATGAAATACCCTTGCAGATCGAATTTCAGCTGCTAATATTTATATTTAGTTAATAATTGCCAATCAAGAATATGCCTTATATACCTTATTGGGAGACTGATGAACTGATAGCAAAAAGACTAATCAGCTTGCCAATTGGCTTGCAGAAGGTGGTCTGTTGTTGGTGTTGACATCTTTGTCAGGCAAACAGACAATTGTTGGCGCTCAACTTGCAGCAACATTTCATGCCTGCCTGGCTTGTCTGCTTAGCCCCATCTTAATTGACAGCGTAACTGCAGTCGATAAATATTTATGCGTCGTCATACATTTGTTACACTTGTCAGTTGAGTTTTCATAAATATATATCTATAAATAATACTTATCAGGTTTAGCGTTACATTTAAATGACTTTCTTCCGACGCATGACAATAACTCAAAATATTTTTTGCTTTCGAAATTATTTAGTTACTCGATGGTTAAGTTTTCAATGTAAAGCAGAAGATTTCTAATAAACAATGTCACTGGGCAGAGCAGTACCTGCTGTCTAGGAATCTCTTTTTTCTAAATAGTTAAAATTTACATTTGTTATAGTTATAGTTATAGTTTAGTTAGTCAAATGTTATTGCCTTCAAATTGGTGCATATGTTTCATATTTTTTATTTGGATGGCAAGCCAAAGCAACGTAAATTAGGCAAATAATCTTCTCGAAGGCCCACTGGATACAAAAGACTTAAGACACAAACTTTGCAACAAAAGTGATGCATACTTTTCAGGTTATTCTTAAATATACGAACATATGAGATTGTCTATGCGAAAATGTTGCATACTTTTGTGCGATTTGATACAGTTTGACAAGCTCTAAGCAGATAATTCTGAAATTACTGATATACTGTTCAGCATTCAATAAACTTAATTAAATTTACATTTTGGGGCATTCGTGCCTTTTGTGCAAACATGAAATTTAACAGTTCAAATTTAATGGACAGAAAATTTTGGTTAAGTTTCGCCCACACACAAAAAAACAAGACTCTCGCTGAATAATACCCAAAATTGGATATGTCTTTATTTTTGCTAATTTTGCTTTCCGCTTGCCGTTTGCCATTTACCTGGAGCTACTGTTGAAGTAACAGCACCAACAACAACAACCACATTCTGTGTACGTACATAGATTCAGGTATCCAGTGGCATGACTTTGACTTCCAATTCAATGTTCGCGATAATGTTGATGATTAGGCAGTAAAACGTAAAGTCAGCACACGCCCATTGTTGAGCTAGGTCCCAAAGAAATCGCTACGATGGCAGCATGTCAAATACCCAATTAATCACATGCTCCAAAGCCGAAACCGAAGCCAAAATAGAAGCCAAATCCGAAGCTGAAACCGAACCTGAGCCGCTTGAAGCTCATGCTGGGAGCCGACTTTCTTCACACATCAATCACATGGGGGTTGGAATCTGGTTGTCAAGCAATGCCGCTAATTATATCAGCTACCTGAAAGACCAAGCAATTGAATTGAGCTACTTCTCTTGTTTGTTTTATATTTTATTTTCATAATAAATAAGTTACAGACTATCAATTATTTTAATACCTCAAACTATTTCATTTTAAATATTATCAGCTACCCAAAATAACCAGAAATTGAATCTAGCTACTTCTCTTTTTTGATAATAATTTGATTTTCATAATAAATACGTTACACGCTATCAATAATTTCTTGTTGTATGATATTATACAATAGTTTGAATTAAATTAAATCGGGCTTCTTCTGGTTGATTGTTGATTTCATATTTTATTATTTTATTTTCATAATTAATAAGTTACAGGCTATCAATAAATTAATTAACTAAACTATTACAACTAATTCCATTTTAGTTGAATCGAGTTGCTTCTTCTAGTTTGTTATTAATTTTAATTTCATAATAAATTAGTTACTGGCTACCAATAATTTAAATTAACTAAACTATTTCAACTAGTTCCATAAAGCTGCTCCCCCGAAAAGTCGCTGACTAAAATCGTGCTCGGTGGTGGTTAGCCAAAAGAAGAACAAATCCGCTCAGAGTATTAAAGTCCGTGCCGGATACTTTGTGGGCAGCAACGACATGGGATCCGTAATGTTGGGCAACTCGGCGGTGTATTGTTCTGATTGCTGACTATAGGCACCATAGGGATCCGAGCGACTGGCCCAACCACCCTGCGACTCATAGTTGTAGCTCTGACCCGCCAGCTGTGCCTGGGTCTGAGCATTGCCATGGATGTGCAAATGAATCTCCTTGGTAGGTGGATGGGGTCCAGGTCCGCCCGAATTGCTCAGCCCTGTGGCACCCCACGACTCCTTCGAGTGCGGATTCCAGCCGGGATAACTGAAACTCGGCGCCGTATGCTCATATTGCCCGAATAGGCTCGTCTTCAGCGTCAAGAATTTGCCGAGAATAGCGAGGGCATTCATGACGACCAGCACCTTGAGCAGGAACAGCGATTTCATGCCAATGGCCACCAGGAAGGCAACCATGGCTGAGAGCACGCCAAACTTGAAGATTATGGGCACCAGCGCCATTTGCAGGCGTCGAATCTTGCCAAATGTGCGACCCTCTGCAATGTTGAAGAGAAATTGTTAAAAATTATCGAGAACGTCTATGCGCTTTAGTAAAGTTATTTGCCTAAGTCTTTTGTTTTTAGCAGCCAAAAACACTCTGTGAATTTGGCATCGCTGCCAAAAATTATCAAAATGAGAAATTATTAAGAATTGTTCTGCGCTCCAGTTTCAAGTTCGTTGCCTAAGTCTTTTGTTTATTGCCAGCTTCAACAGCCAAAAAATACTCATTGAACTTGGCATCGCTGCCAAAAATGAGCTTGGCGTTTCTTCAAATGCTTATAGCGATAATTTCGTCAACAAACAGAGCTGAACGCGAAAGTCCATAAAAAAACGAACGCCGCAAATAAGAAATAAATAAAAACATAAATATTTTCTCAGTCTTTAAAGATGCGTGTGCGTTTTTTTATTACCATTTTTTATTTTTTGTTTAAATAAAATAATTAACGTGAGTCTAGAAGAAATGCGGAAAGTGAAATTACAACACGGTGTTGCGATGAGCAATAAAAAATACGAAAAAATAATAATAATAACTCCATTTCAGCGTCTCGTATTTCAGCTGATGAGAGCCAAACTCGAAGCTGAGCTAGAGAAAAGATGCTAATTGTTAACATATTTTTAAGCAACTTTGCTGTCTGTTATTGTTTTTTTCTAATCATGTTTCATTGAAAACGAAAGTGAATCAATCAAGTTGGTTAGACTGGCTGCTAATCGGATAAGGGAGTTCACATGCGTAATTCAATCATCGAGTTACTAATTGGTGGGAAAATGTGTTAGAGTTGTTGTTGTCATCGTCGTTGCGTACTCACCCACTTTGGCCGGCTTTTCGTCGTCATCGTCATCGCCGAAGAGACTTTCACTGAGATCTGAGCGCAGCCAGCTCCAAAGTGAACGCACCATGCCCCAAACACTTAGATCTGTGGCATCCACAGTTGGTTTTACTTCAGTTGTAGTTGCAGCTACTGCAGCATCTTTATCAGCTGCTGATGCTGCCACCTCCTCCTTCTCCTCCTCCTCCTCCTGCTCCTCCTGCTCCTCCGTCTCATCGTCCTCATCCTCATCTTCATCGGCATCTGTTTCAGCATCAGTTTCAGCATCTTCATCCTCTTCCGCCTTATCAGCTTTATTACTGTTATTCTCAGCTGGTGCTGCTGCTGCTGCTTCTACTGCTGCCATCTCAGCTTTGTCTTCATTATGGCTATTGGCATTAGCCGGCGGCTTTTCGGCTTTTTTGATTATCTTGGCGCCCAGTGCGCAGCTCAAGAAACACAGGGCCAACAACAAGGCCAACAGCGAGCGACGCGCACTTGAACTCTTTGTGAGAAACTGAAAGTAAACACAACAAAAACATTTTAGAGAAATTATTCAAGAGTGTGAGCAGGTGTGTGTGTCTGTGTCTCTTGAGTGTGTGTGTGTGTAACTGCATTGTTCAGCAATGACATCAAAAAGCCGCCTTTTTTCAACGCATTTCTTCATCATACGGAAATTGCGTAAACGAAAGACTTAAGCAGCGAACCAGCTTTAAAATACAGTACTTTGTAACTGAATCTCCACTGTACATGTTGGCATATAATAGCTGTCAAATGCTTTTCAGAATGCACAACTGAAACTACTTAGACTACTTAAAATATTTTATGAGCCACATTTTGGCTGCAGCAAGTGTCATTATTGTCGCCGCTTTTGAGTCACAACCTTTGCGTCTTTTATGTAATGCACAAAATCTGTGTCAACACATCCCCAAGTTATGAACTGTTTTTGTTGTCGCTGTTTGTTTTCGTGGTCAGCAATTTGTATGTTAATATTTGCGCTATGTAAATAACTGCAAAAAAAAACCATAACATAAATCTTATGAAACGAAAAAATCACACACACCTTTTATTTTAGGGATTTGGCAAAAACCTTTTCAGCAACGCTGAGAAAGTGAAATTCAAAAACCAAAAAATGTTTTCATATCTTAGACAAGAATTAACAACAAAGAGCATTTTTCAAAGTAAAGATTTATTAAAATTGCCCTAAAGGCCCTCTTTTAACTTTTAAATTGCTTGTCATTCTATTTCTAAGATTGCTTAGATAAAAAAAAAACCACAAGCAGTTTTTTCTAAGCTCAAACTCAGCTCACATTGAAAGTGAAGACTTATTAAAATTACCCTCCATTAACTCTTTATTGGCTAATAATTCTGTTTCTTAACCCTTAGAGGCCTTCACTTGACTTTAAGTCATATTTAAACTCTCAATTAACTCTTAATTGCTTTGTCATTCTATTTCTTAGATCTTTTAGATTAGAACCAACAATAGAGAGCAATTTTTTTAACTAAAGCTCAGCCCATATTGAAAGTAATAAATACTAAAAATTGCCCTTAGAGGCCCTCACTTGATTTGGAGTCAGCGAGAAGCTTATTTGAACCCTCGACTATCTCTTCATTGTTTAGTCATTTCTATTCTATTTCTATTATTCTACCAGCCCAAAACCGAAAGTCAGCGCTGAAGGGTTTTCCATTTCCAAGAGCCAAGTAACAATTATAATTAAAGACCAGTAGACGCCGCCTGCCCAAGAATTTATTTATTTATGATTTCTAAGTGTTGCTGGCCCCGAAAAAAGTTAATGTTTCCCCTCGAGCGTAGCTTCTTTTTGAACATCACAAAAGTTCTGTCATATAACGGTTGACTCCATTCCAAATATACAAAATTAATCAAATTAATTAGTAACACAACAAAGCAAAGAATTTCGCAAATGTAGAGTCAACTCCGTTGGCTTGACATAATTTGTGAAGCGCTTTGTGTTATTCAATAAAATAAATGTAAGCATTTTATTGTGTGAATATTTGCTTTCAATTCTTTTGTGTGAATATTTTGTGTGCCAAATGGGCTTTGGGCTACATCTTTTTGCTAACTGTTGCTGTCGAAGTCGTGCTGCGTGACCTTGATTTAATATAATAAGTTAAATAGCTGTCATACATCAATGGGGTATTTTAATTAATCAAAAATAACTGCAACTGCAGTAAAACCAAAAAAAAAGAAATGAAATTTCACAAATGAAAGGTTTTTAGTATGATGCAAGATTCACATTAATTCGAGATTGTGTTTTCGTTAGTAAATATATATTTATATATTCAAACACAGGAGTGTTTTTGTATTTTATTCGATATTTATTTAGAAACACAAGTGATAAACGATATGGACAAGATTGTTCGCAATAAAGGCTCATTTACATATTTTCAGTTTAGAGTGACTAATTTGATGTGATCGTATTTTAAAATCTGTTTTTCCGACTCAGTTTCACCATTGTTTCTTCTCGTCAAATTGCATTCGAATTTATTGCTCTAGTCTAACTTAATTTGCATTTTATCATTTGATGTAACTGAATTAAAAATTCAGAAAATCACATCACAGGAGGAGATACGGAGAAATTTTCAACTTGCTATACTATAAAAATTCATTATATAAATATTTAAGCAGCAACAAAAAATTTCGCCAAGAAAAATGGTGTTAAGCACATTAAGTTTATGTTAAATTTGCCAAGTTGTGAGAGAAGCGTCAGTCTTCGTTTCAGTTCATTTTTGTTTACTTCAATTTGTTTGCGTTTATTTAAAATTTAGCACTCTCAAGTGCGATAATGAGTCAAATTGTTTTTTCGAAATGGAAAGTGCTATCAAATGAAGCCTTTCAGTTGTTGCTGAAGAATTCACTGCGGTTACTTGTATAATACTCTATTCTTCTATTTAATAAGTGCCCTAATTTGTGTAATTATGATAAGTATACATATATATATATATATATATATATGTATATTATTGGCATTTCATAAATCACTCTCAATTCAGTTGTACAAGCAAGCAAACAAACAAATTTAACTAATTTATTATGAATAATACAAATTAAATTCCATTAGATTTTTTGTTACATTATTAAAAGCTTTGTGAACTGAATAATTTCATAAATGTTCGCACTTTGTTCAGGTTCAATCAATTTTCCATACCTCCGTTTCTTTTTGTAACCTGAACCCATTAAGTATGATTAAAAATTGCTAAGGGTTATGTGCTAAAGTATCTAAGAGGCAAAAGGCAACATCTCCCATCCTATGCAGTATATATCTTCTGGTTAGCATCTGCAGCCGAGTTGATATAGCCATGCCTATCTGTGCATCTGTATTAACAAGCGGATCTCACAGAGTATTAGAACTAGAGAAATTTATTAACAAAATTAGAATATATATATGTGTATTTGAACAGCTGGGTTCACGGTATATCACAGTTGAGCTTACTCAGAATGCTTACTAATTAATTACTGGCCCCCCAAACTTTAATGACCACCACTCTCGAAAGACAGTCCCATAAAATTATAAGCTTGATTTGTTGCGTCCTCATAAGACTATAATAAAAGCCATAAAATTAATAAAAACAAGAAAATTATATTTTAGGGTGTTGCATAGCTGATGCAGTTGGGGCACGTGTTGTTGTACGAGATATCTACAGATGCATAAATGTTACTACAGCTTACAAGCTGAGCATTATCTAATGCGAGTATGTATTGTGGCCATAAAAGTCACAGTTCGTGACACAAAATTCGAGTGACCGACAAATGGAAAAACATGTAAAAAACAATCATAAAACCCGCTTAATAACAGAGCACTTAAAATACACTTGACTGCAACTGAATTGAAAAGACTGGGGCCAGGCCAAAAGAAAGTTGTCTCTTTTTTTGGCAAACAAAAAACATATTGTAAGCGGGAATAGAATTGTGCGTTTTGTCAATTGTTGTGTTCATTGTGAAAGACTCCTCTGAGCAGAATTGAGGTAAAACGGCCACGGAGCACGTGCTGAGCATGTGAATGCCACATTTTTGTTTTGTTTATTTTCTACCACTTACCAGCATGATAATACGATTTTGGTTGCAACTGGTCCGCTGACCGATGTCCGATTGGATATATGTATGTGTATAAGTGTAAGTGGTTTCACAGTGGTAATTTGCTGCTGTTATTTTTATTATTTTTCGAGTGTATCCTTAATTATTGCATTGAACTCTTTGCTGTAAAATTAACTAACTGAATGCTTGAGCGACTTTCACGCAACAAAAACACCGCACACGCAAATTGTTTAAAGCCAAGGAGATCGTATCGAATCTGAGCGATTTTTTATTTTGATCTTTGTTTTTTCTTCTGTTATTTGCTTTTAGCGCGACTGCAGCGCTTGAGATGTGCCCGCTGACTGCCACTTGGCAGTCGTCTTGGCCAGCAGGTAAGGTCTGGTCTGGACTGTGTCTTGGACCACGGCAAAATACACTCTCCACGGAGCAGTCGCTGCTGTGGCGCTTCTTCAACGTGTTTGCTTTGCAGCGACAACTCTCACAACAACAAATGCTGTTTTCGTGTGAGCTCGCCTACGACATACCCTGCACCCATGTTCTAGTATATATATATATATTGCTAAATTTCCGAACTAAAAAAGTTTGCACACGCAAATCTAAGCAGGCGTGGAAGTGATAGTAATGGGATCAATTTGAGAATTCGTTTTGGATTATATCTTGCGTGCTTTCCATTCAATTTTAATTAAACTTGAGCAGTTTATCAATAATATGTCAATATATACTATTTATCAATTGAAAGGCTTTGCCCTTAAAATTGTGGCTTTTATTGGTGTCGGAAATCGATAAGTATCGATAAGGACTCCGAAATTCTTACATCTGCCTGTTACACACTTTTGCATTATAACCATTATTCCCTATTTACTCAGGGGTGCAGGGTATAACAACAACCACTACACACGCAGCGGCTCTCAGTTCCGATTTCGTTTTCAACACTTTCTTCACAATTTTCCCCTAAAACGGCGGCAGCAGCAGACGATCTCGCACCGAAGCCAAAATCTGCTCTCCTCTCCTCTCGTCTCCTCGGCTCCTCTGCGCTGCTCTTCTCTTCTCTGCTCTCGTTGTCTGACTGATATTACGAATAGTCGTGCAATGGGCCAGAGCATAAAAATGCTTTTGCGCACGTGACGTCACAGCCGCGTATTTGACCCAAGCAAAGCCAAGCCTAAACTTGAAGTCACCCAACCCAACCCAGCACAGCTTGACATAAGCCACATCTACATCTATATGTACATATATATGTATATATATATTTATATATGTATATGTAGCCCTGCTGTTTGGCTCTTTGTTGCTCTCACGTTTCTCATATTTGCATTGCAACATATTTTAGCTACTTTGTCGAGTTGTTTAACTATACAATTTTGTATGTGGCACTCCTAGAGATTTTTTTTGTTGACGTAGTATGATAAAAAAGTTGATATTTTAAAATGCACACATGTGTTTCCAGATTTAAGTGTAGGCTTATTCTATATCTCATACCAAGGCCAAAAAGCCCTCGCTTTTGAAAATCGCTCCAGTTTTGCCAAAGTTATGGCTCTGGGAATTTTAGACCCATGATCGGGGTCTATTTTTGGGATAGGATTTGGACATGATTTTCGACCCAGAATAACATTTTTAAATTTTAATGAAGTATTGTTCTATAGGTCAAGCCATGTTCAAAACAGTATTCCTTTTGAAAATCCGACCAGTTTTGACTAAGTTATGGCACTATGAAGTTTAGATTTCTGCAATTTTTTTCGGCTTACATTTTGACATGATTTACTCCCCAGAACCGCCTTGCCAAATTTAAATGCATTATTGTTCTATAGATCAAACCATGACCAAAACACTCTCACTCCTCAAAATCTCTTCAGTTTTGACAAAGTTATGGCCGCTGGAATATTTTGACCAGTATTTCGAATTTTATTTTAAAGTTATGGAATACTATACTCTTCCATGGAAGGGTATTACAAGTGCGTCGATTAATTTGCTTATCTTTCTCGTTTCTTGTTTCGAATGTAACCCGTGCATATTTGCCGGCTACCTTTTACCCGCTCTGTAGTGATTGTTTTGACCCATTTCTATGTCAAGCCGACTCGCTCCCTATCTCTCTCTCTCTCTCTCTCTCTTCCTCTCCCTCTCCATCTCTCTCTCCCTTTTTTATATTGTCCATTGAGCGCTCCATTCACTTAAGACCTTTTCAACTGCTTTGCATGATAATGCTGCGTATTTTAGCGGTTTCTGATAAGCAATCCTATAAGATATAGAACACAATGATAATGACAAGAAACCTAATCCAAATAGACTTGATTTATAGGGCAACCCAATCCCATTGATACGATTGCTTACAGTTATATAGAACTCTGATTCGGGTGTTAGAGAAATATGGGTCAATCAACTGATTTGCCTAAGTTATGGCCAACTACATATTTCTTTCTTTGACTATTACCAAGTTTAAAGTTCGTTGCTCTTCGATCCAAAGTGTGTGTTTTAACAATTACATAATGGAACTTGCTACTTGCCACTTGGAAGTGGCAAGCCGGCGTGTTGAATCCGTTAAATACACGTGTGGTAATCGCGCCGCACCTTTCGGTCCTAAAGTCATGACCATGAATGTGGCCAAGTCAAGTCAAGCTAAGTCAACGACTTAAATCTGGATTTGTCTGATGTTTGTTTGTTTGTTTGTTTTGGCTCTCGAAATGTGTCAAAAGTATCATAAATGTTACCCATTTCCATAACGGTTTCCCTGCCTATGCAACGAGTTGGCTCAGTTAGCTGGTTAACAAAAATGACATCATTAGATTATATCATTAACATTTTTATTTTTATTTTTATTTTGTACTGTTTAACGGTCCAAGCCAATGATCGGAAAATGTTCTTTGACAGTTTCACATTAAATACAAACTTAACTGAAAACAAATTTCTTCTTTTTTTTTACTACTTCTTGCCCAAGTTATTTGGATAGGCATATGGATTCAAATTGTAATTATTATAATAAGAAGGATACAAATACTGCCCAATGACATAGGGCCAGATGCGTATTTGCATATCATTGTAGTAGGGATTGTTGGGGTTGTAGTAAGGAGGAGGAGGCGTCGTATAATAATATCCTGTTAAGCTCGAGAATGTTGGACTCGGGGTATTGTAGGGATTATATGGCGTATAATACTGGCCAGCAGCAATCTATCAGCAAATAAAAAAGATTATAGTTTTAAGCCATGCGAAATCCTTTTTTGAAACTCACCACAAACAGGGCAGCAAATAGCAGCAGGCAGTTGGATTTGTGGGCCATCATATATCAATATTATTATTTTAGTTATCCAATTGTAGAGAGTTGTAGCTCTGATTTTCGACTAACTGTGTAGAGTCCACTCCATTTGCATTTTATAACTGAAATTTCACGCACTGTCACCTTTGGTTAGCTTTCGCTGTTTTGCTGTTTTTCCAAGCATTTTTCAACCAATTTTCTAGCCATTTTTCGTTTCGTCATTGAACTTGACTCATCGGGGTTATTTACCCATTTTTGCAGTCGCATGACTCGGTGACTCCCACTCCCATTTAGATTGCAAAAATTAGAAATATAATTGCGACATTTTGTTAATGGCTGCAAAATATTTTGTCACATTTAAAGCAAAATGGAAAAATTGTAAGCGCCAATAAAAGGAGACCAATTAATTATTTTATATGCGAGTATTTTTTTTATTTATTTTTTTATTCTGTTTATTAAATGTGCGCAATTTGATTACGATTTATTTCTGCTTATATTCTGCTTTAGACAGACATTACAAACATTATTTGTAAATTATATAGCAATATGACGGCCTTGAAACACAGTTGTAGTTAGTTGGTTGGCCTTCTATTTACAATTATTTACAACACGTCTCTCGATCGTTACTCGAAAATTAGACTACACACAAAATACAAAAACGAAACTCAACAAATATCGTCAACAAGTCTCTTAAATTAGTTTACACATTTTGTTTTTAATGGGTAAATTTACAGCGCCCCCCTTTCATTCGCCAATCTCTCTCTACATTTCTTCATTTCGTTCATCGCATTTCGCATTCGCATCCATTTAATTTAATTAGTTTTTCTGCTCCTCAAATAATAATACAATAAATATGTGTTATTAATCGCAATCAGTAGTCCTCATCGTCTTCGTCTGGCGGATCTGTTGCATACGTCAATTCGTTCAGATAGAACCATTTCTAACAGAAAAATATATATAAGCATTAGCTGTTTATCATGAATTATAGATCATGAATCCTTAACTCACCGGCGACTCTGTGCAGTTGAAATTGTAATCCCAATCACATATTCTGTATTCCTGATTAAAGCTCGTCTCATTCGCACATAAATGCGGTATTCGATTGCCCTCCTCGTCGCACATGTGAAATATCTAAAATCATATTTATCGGACAAAATATAAATCAATCTAATAAATATTTCCTTCTTTAATTTTTCGTTGCATATTTTCAGGCTGTTGAATAATTTCTATGACACGATCATGCTTTCTCTTTCACACAACAAAAGCTCTACATAAGTTTCTCATTGCATACTTTGAGGCTTTTAACTATTTAAGTATAATTATATTTAGAACTTTACCTGACAATTGTATTCCATGTCCGCATAGAAGCCCACTGAACGCCTCTTACAATCGAAGGAGAAGGTGATATTATCTAAATTCGTCCATTCCTTCGTCTTGTGATTTTGAAATACTGGACTGGCTGGCTCCTGAGCAACAATCGCCACCATCAATAGGTGAGCTATTAAATTAGATATATATATATAGATTAGTTAAGTTCTGTTTAAGTTTTTGCATAAGTGTTTTTCTTTTCGATACGCTGTTGGTTTATAATTTATTTGGCTCACGCGTGTCTGAAATAGTTGGCCTCAAAGTGTTTGTCTAATCGACGCACAGAGCATTTAATTTATTTCTGCCAACTCGTCGCTGTCTCGTCGATTTATTGGGGCCACAACTCACCTAGTAAAACGCCGGAAAGCCATAAAATTCTATAACTGTTAACCATTTTTGTTGAGCTGCACATTTTGGCCTCTGTTTTGTTTGCTCGTTCGCTTTCAGCTGCTCTCTCGCTCTCTCTCTCTCTCTCTCTCTCTCTCTCTCTAAAAATACTCCGCTGTTTGTCACTCTCTCTCGCTCTCTCTCTCTCTCTCGCTCTGGCTTTGCCGCGTGCTACGCGTCCATTTAACTGACAGTTTTCAATTAGGAAGCGCGGCTTTATTTTTTATGGCAGCAGGCGCATGGCTAAAATGAGTAAAAAGCAAAAAGAAAAATAAATATTAGATGGCTGTGGCATCTGCAAACGACAGTTAATTGCTGCCCAAAACAAACACACACACACACACATACACAGAAATTCATTAACAAAGATTACAAAATCATCATCAACAGCAGCTGTCGACTCGCATTTTTTGTGAATCTGCCCATTTGCATAGGTTTGGCCTGAGTCATCCGAAGAAGATGAAGAAGAATTAAAATTGATTAAGTCTTTGCTGCTGCAAACGTAATGTCATTGCTAGAGGATATTTGATCTACACTCAGAAAAAAAACAACATCAATTTTATTAGATCGCCCTAAGGCTATCTTTTTTTTATAATTTCTAAATATTTGGAAAAAAATGTCTAAGATATAAAAACAGACAATGCCAAAAATATGGCAATTTGCATTCTTAGAAAAAATCCTTTCTTAAATTCAGAAACAAGAAATTCCCGCGGAATCGTAGGCTTTGTCCAATTAATTTATAGAAATTTATAAATGGTAACAGTTTTGTATGTGGTGAAATCTTAAAATATTAATGCTTACTAATAATATATTACTATTAATATATCAATTTTCAATCTACAATAGTTCAGGCCAATTCTTTTTATGAGTGTAGACGCCACTTTGACTTGACCCACTTTCTGTCTGAGTCAGTTCTAAGCTTTGTGTCTATTTCATAACAATAAAATCACATCAATCATTTGACAGCGACTGCCAAATTAACACGCATAATCAGAAAATAGAGAGGGAAGGTGTAGAAAACACAAAAGCGTTTGAAATGCCATTAAAAAACAATAATTCATGGGCACATCCAATCAGCAATAGAATTTATTTATGCAAATTGAGTGCTTTGTTTATTATTGGTATTATTGAACCGACGGCTGACAGCCGGCAGGCAGAAGAAAGAAAACCATTTAAGAGGCGACCTTGCTCACGATTTTTGGTTACTTTTGCTGCGATTGTTGTTGACTGGGCTACACTCAGAAAACAGACTGTCGCCCTTAATTATCGAAATTCACCATATCCATTTAGAAAGGAGATTTCTAAATTTGAAGGTTGTGGCTTTAGAAAACCCAGGGTTTACATTCCATAATTTCAGACTGGATTTTTCTACAATTTCGAAAAAATATGTCTTGAATAATTCTGTTTTGTTAGTATATATGATTTTATTAATCATTAGTGCTTTAAGATTACTTTAATATATTGTTAATAAGAGAAAATATTTTTTAAAAAAATATGACAACTTTCATATTTTTGGTATTGTCGATTTAGAAATGCATTTTCTAATTCTAAGAAATATGTGTTCTATTGAGAAAGTATATCCAAAATCAAGAGAAGCTTGCCATTTTTAGGGCGATTTTTTCAGAGTGCAGGCTCCAATTAAAGCGTAAACAGCTCAGCGCAGCTCAGCTCGACTCGAAAACTGGAGTTCACCTGAACAATCCGATTGAGCGATTAGCTTCCCATGCTGATTGCATTTTATAGTGCTGACTACGAATTCTCTTTCTCTTTGGCCAAAATCCTTGACATTTTTCTTGAAATTTATGGTAGACAACACAGCACAACACAGCACAACACAACGCAACACAGCAACGACGATTAACGATCGCCTCCAACAAATAATCGTAAATTGTTTTATTTTTTGTAGCCCCCGCATTTCCAACTTATTGTGCAGCAGGCAGCAGGAACAGCTCCAGACTTAACTTCAAAAAAATAATGAATGATATGCAGATTTAGCTTGCCGAAGTGAAGGCAACGTTAAAGGTCATCGCAGCCAGGCATTTAACCGACGATTCCCAGCCGGGCGCAGAAACTCATCTTCACTCAGACAAAACAAAGAGGCGCCTTGGCTGCCTGACGACTGCCTGACTGCCTGACTGTCTGTCTGTCTGCCTGATGATGACACAGCAGCCACTGAATCTTGTCCGTCCGTCCCATTTGCTGTTTGTGTCTGTCTGTTTGTGTCTTTCACCTTTTGGCTGACCATGGCGCCTGCCACAATTGGTGGCTGGCTGCCCCTGCCTGCCTGCCTCTTGCAGCTGCAACTATTGTCAGCGCCTAAAGCTTTTAAGCGTGCCTCAAAAATTTCCGCAAAAAAACCAACGCAACTGGCCACATATTAAATGTAGGGTAATGAAGAGGCCTTCGGCTCTTTTGGTGACTCAGTGAATGGAGATTAAGTTATGGGCTGATATGTTAAACATAATCAAAATATGACTAATAGCTGGAAAGTGATTATCACAAATGAAAGAAACTGTACAAAATATTCGTCATGCCTAACTCTGTTGTACCTAAATCCCCCAAGTTCCACAAGTGGAATGCTCTACAAGGAATACACATCAATTTATAGTTATTAAATAAAAGAAAGAAACCTAAGGAAATTCAAGTTCTTAAAAAGTGTTCGCTTTCTGCCCTGTCTAAAGTTTAAGCCAAGTTCTTTCTTGTTGCTGTTGCAAGAGTATTCCATTTTCGGTGCAACATGTCTCTCTCTCTCTCTCTCTCGCTCTCCCTCTCTCTCTTTCTCTCTCTCTCTGTGTGTCTCTTCATTTATTTTCATGTCTTTAGTGTGCGGCGGCGTCACTTTTGACATTTTCTGACAAGCGTGAGAAGCGGCTAAAAATGCTTGCGGTGCAGGGGGCATTGGGGAGGGGGTAGGTGTAGAGGAAACCATTCATGACTGGGACCATCAATTTGCTTAGCCTGCTCAGTTCTCAACTTACATAATATATATGTATAAATGTACGATTCAATTCCCCCAACTCCAAAGCAGCCACACTTGGGCATTTGTTTCTTGTAATCAAGTCTTGTTGTATCTGCTGCTGCGTGTGTGTGTGTGTGTGTGTGTGTTTGAGGCCTTGTTGTGTTTAGTATTATATATATTTTTTATATTTTTGCATTCCAAGCGCATGCGCGACATTTTTGGAAAGTTTATTTTGGTTTTTTGGTTGATTGAATATTTGTTTTTATTTGTTTTTTTTTCTGGTTGGATTCGGAAGTTTGTTGGCGTTGTTTTGCGAAACAACGAACTAATTTGTTAATTGTGACGCGTAACCGAGGGCGCAATGTTTGATGGCCCTATAATTTATGCAAATTGCAAATTATTTAATTTGTGGCAACACAACAAAAAAAAGAAAAGCAAAAAACAGGCCAGATAATTTCCAATTTCAAATTTCGTTTTCTCGTCAAAGAAAATGCAATGCTGCAAGGTGATTGAATGACAACAAAGAAAATCACAAGAGGAAAAGCTGAGAAATTGTTTCTTGTTTGTTGTTTGTTGTTATTGGCTGGTTGCTTGCTGCAGCGGAAGCGTTGCCAATTGGCGGAACTGCTCCCCAGCCAGGCAGCCAGCCAGTCAGCCAGCCAGCCAACAATGCAATTTTGCAACGCCAGATGACGACATTCGAAACCTGAGACTTTAAGCGAGTTATTGCCGCCGCCCCGTTATTGGATATGGCATTTATATAAGTGCAAACATGGCTTAATCGCAATTGATTAGGCCAAGCTGCAGACTACACTCATAATTAAAATCGCCCTACATATTTGTAAATCGCCAGTGGTTAGTCACCCTATAATTCAGAGAGTACATTTTTAAAAACTACGGTTTTGCACTTCTGCTTTATAGAAATGGTCTTCTTATTAAAAAAAAAAGATATTATATATTTTAAATTTTGTAGGGAAATTTTTTTGTGAGTGTACAAGCTGCAAACTGTAAATAGAGATGAGATCAGATGGAGCTAAAGTTGATGGCGCCCAACGTGACAACTTGCCACTTTTTTGCACACACATTTTTCAACATTTTTCAGCGCAATTAAGCCGTTGCAAACAACAATAACAACGACAACAAACAACAACTAACATAAGCAAAAACTAAATTTAATTTAATTGATCAACAAGAAAACTTGTTAGCTGACCAGCTTGACCAGCACCTCCAGCTGTCCCCCTCTGCCTCCTCTGCCCCCTTCGATTATTGGCCTTGAAAAAAACGGTACGCAGAAATGCGCTTAATATGAAAAATCAATATCGAAAAAAAATAAAATATAAAAAAAGTTGATCGCTCGGCAAAAAAAAAAAGAGGAAAAAAAACAAAACAAAAAAACCTGCTCAAAGTCGGACTCGTACTAGTCCGTACAAATAAAAGTGAGTTTAAAATGAAACAGCTATAAAGCAAAGCGTGCTTAAACATAAATTTCAAATAAATGCGAGACCTGCCCAAATTTTAGACAAATAAATTTTGCGATTCGCAAAACCCCCGGCGTGACAAAACTAAGGTGACTTTATAGTTGACAGATGAAACTAATAAATATATTTATAAATAAAAAAACTAGAAACAATAGCAAAATACGATATATCATAAAGTTTTGTTTTAGATTTTAAATGAAACCATTAATACAAATTAAATGTGCAAATTTGAAAGCAAATAAAGAAATAACACAACAAAATAAATTGTTATAATCAATCTGCGATCAAATTAACATGTTTCCCAATCAGCAAACTCAAAAACAAACTTCAAGTTAGGGAAAAAGAATAAAATATGGTTAAGCACAGCATTGAAGATGATAAATTGTTTGATCTTTCACTAAAGTTGCCGCCCACAAATCGAGCCAGCGTATCAAAAAACCAAAAAACAAAAACAAAAACCAATAAAAATGTCACTTCCGCTGGCAAAAACTCGCTTTTATTGTGTTCACATTTGGAGCTTGGCTTGGCTCGAAAAGGCATCTCGAAAACTATTAATTAATTAAGCTTCAATCAAACAACAATCCAGCGATCGATCGATCGATCGATGACTTAAATGCCATCAACTCCATCGACAACAGGCAACAAACAATGGCTTAAAGACAAAAGTGCAAATCGGCTACCTGACCACAAAAAGAAACAAGACAACAAAAAATGCCGCTGACCAGCAGCTGCTGGCTTCTTCAGCTGCTTTCAAGCCAATATGACATTAACATATTTGTGTGTGTTGTGTGTGTGTGTGTGTGTGTCTTTTTCAAATTCAGTCGAATATTATTCGTTACAAGGGCAGCAAACTGCGTGTAGAAGTTCAGTTATCTGGGCAGCAGCTCATTTCAATCTGCTCATCAGCTACATATACAGATATATGCATACATAGCTATATATATTTTATATTTATAGGTTTGATTACCATTACCTTGCGCAATTTGGTATGGTAACAGCCCAGTTGAAGTTGAAGTTGTGTTTGATTGATCGCCTTGGTTGCTCCTTTGCCGTAAAGCAAATTTCAAAAACGCAACTCTTGCGATTTGTGGTGCAAATTTGGCCAAAGGCTGTTAACTGAAGTGTCGATAAGGCTGGCCGATCAACAAACAGATCAGCACACATCATTTATTGGCATTATTGTCAATTTTTTTTTACTACGGGTTCTCTCTTCTGTGCATAGCTAACTTGATCTTTTATTTCTCTCATTAATATTTAAATATCTATATATATTTTTTCATATATGCATAAGTAATTGAAAACAAGTATTTAATATTGATCAGCAAACAGATCATCACACATTATTTGTTGGTATTATTGTCATTTCTTAGGTGATCGTTTTTAAATGCTTTCTTCATATATATAAATAATTGAAAGCAAGTATTTCATGTTAATCAACCTAGCGATAATCACATTATTTATTTATTATTGGCATTATTGTCACTTGTTATGAGCTCTCTCTTTTCTGTGGATAGCAAATTTTAACAGTTTCTTAATTGGTTTTTTCGTATATATAAATAATTGATTTAATGTTGATCAACAAACAGATCATCATACATTTTTTATTGGCCTTATTACCACTTTTAATCTATCTTTTTTTATAATTTTGAAAGCAAGCATTTAATATTTTTTATTTGTTTGTAGCTGTTCTCTCTTTTCTATAGCTTGCAAAATTAATAATCACTTTTCATTTATCTTTTATTTTTTTGGTTTTCTTTCTATAACTAATCGTTGTGTTAAGTTTGTTGATAAATTACTAAATGGTGAAATTATCCGATCCCTCTCGAGAGTAGTTGGACTTATTGACTTATTGGATTTTATCTGGATTTTCCCCAATCCATGCAACAAATGTTGAATCATTTGGCATTTAAATACCCCCCAGAAATCGTATAAATATTACTTACTTTTTTACTTTAGAATTTAAATTCTTTATTGCTTTTTGTACTGATATTAGTTGATTATAAATACATGTTTATATAAATAATTGAAAGCAAGTATTTAATATTAATTTGTAGCGTGCAATTTTGCAACCGGTTTTCTTCAACCCTGCTTCATTTTTTAATTTTTTTTTTTAAATACGTATTTTTTTAAACGTATTTGCTCAAATGCTAACCGAGTTCAAGGCTCGCCACGTGTCGTATACGTGATGTGCCGGCTGTTTGGCCAAATGGGCTGTAAGCAAAAGCTTTTCACACAATTAAGCAGCAAATGCAACAGCAGCAACAATTACAACATTAACTAGCTGCTGCTTTGTAATGTGGCAGCTATAAATTTTATGTAAATCGTTTTTTGCTCTTAGCCATGTTTCTTTATTTCTTTCCCCCACCCACCCCTCTCGGTTTCCACTTTTATTGCCGCTAAAAGACGCAAACGCTGCACAGTTAAACAATGCAAATGAATTACATACCGCATTGTAAAACGCCAGCGGACCCCAAATGATGTGCAAGCAATTGCAGTCACACACAGCCAGACACACAAACAGCACACACACAACACACACAATACACACAGCACACAGACAGGTGAATACACGGCTTACAAAAAATACAACAACAACTGTTGTCTGAAAGATTTTCCAAGAATGCGCTGAGCGGGTGGCTCTGCTGTGAGCAAGCAAGCGTCTTGTCTCTACACACACACACACCCACACACACACACATAGACACACATGCCTAAGCTGCAACCACAACAAGTTTTTTATTTCATTTTTATTTTTTGTCGCTGTCGCCTTATCGAAATTATCGATTGCATTTCCAGTTGGTATCCACGTTTTTGCAATAATATTATTGCAACTCTATATTCATGAATAAAATATCTCAAATCTAAACAATTAATAGGTGCAACTATTAATCACAGACAAAGCTGATCTATTGCTAATTAGTTGCCATTTAAAGTTTATTATACTTGCTTTTCTGAGAACACTTTCAGGCAACGACATTCTCTCTACCACATGCCCCAAACTGGAAACATGATTAGAATAATTGCCAAAAAAAAGCACAGAGAATGGTTATTTTGGGCAAGCCGTAGACTAGATTCCCTTCTGTGGTCAAAATAGATTTTATATTGGAAGCTTAAATTATTCTTTTTGTTTTGTATGTTTTAAACAAATTTGATTTATAGTTGAATTTGAATTTATTTTTTTTTATGTTTTTGTATGGTTTAATCAAATTTGATTTATAGTTAAATTTGATTTGTGATTCATTTTTTTTTTTTTTTTTTGTTTTCGTTTTAATAATCAAATTTTCGTTTTAAATGTTTACATATTTCTCGTTTCATTAAACAAATTATTTTTCAAGATTTCTCCTTGTAAAAGGTTTTTCAAGTCTGACTGTTAACTGAATGTTCTAAATCAGAAAGGATGTTATATAGGTCTACCGATTCGTATCTGCCTTCAGTCTTTGAGACAACTATTATATATAACAAGTTTCATCAACATAGCTTTTAAAGCAGAGGAAGAACTCAAATCAGACTATAAATAAACTGATACTGATCAAGAATATACATAATTAATGGGATCGGAGACATCTCATTCAATGCATTGCAAGCTTGACACAAAATGAAAATACCCTCAACAAGGCTTAATAAAATTCCCCCACAAAATCTTTACTAAGCTCGCAACGTGTCAAAATTTATAGATTTTTTCTTGGTATTCTTGTCTTTGGCAACTGCTCAAAGTCTGAAGCTGCTTAGAAACAACATAAATTGTTATCTCTCTTTTTTTTGTATTTTTGATTTGCTAGTTTTGCTGGCAGTTGTTGTGAATGGCAAAGTTTAAGCATTTAAACAATTGCAGTTGGCCAAAAAGTCGCTTGACCAAAATTGGACAACAAATTAAGGCCAATGCTTTCGCTTGGCTTCAAATCGAAATTTGGGCCTCATTTACGCTTAGGCATTAAATATGTTAATAGTAGCTACGATAACAATATCGATATCGATATATCATTAAGCGTGACAAAAGTTGCATAATATGCCGAATTGATGCCCATCATCAAAAATGGAGCACGCATTGTATAAGAGATGCCAAGTACACTCACAAAAAGTTGCCCTACATTTTAGTAAATCGCCCTAAAATAAAAATCACCATAAACAAACAATTTCTAAATATGTGCAAAAATATTTCAAAAATGTGTCAGTTGCTTCCACTTTTTATAAATATTTAATATTATTAAGAAATGTATTTCTCAAATGTTGAAATGCATTTTTTGAAAATTCACACTGAAATTTTGAGCAATTCTTTTTATGAGTGTAATTTTTTTCTTTTTTTTTTGCTGCAAATACAGCTGACTGGCTTGGGTTACTTTTATAACGGTTTACCTACCATGGAGCGGGCTGGCTCGTTAAACTGCTGCTTAACCAGGCTAAGAGGCAAACAGGCAGCTGCAATCCAAGTCCAAATTAAGTTGAGGAATTTTAATGCATTTGCATTTGTTTTGCTCTGACGATATATATATTTAACACAATTATGATTTATGTAATAAGCTTTACTTTTTGCACTGGAAAAACTATTTCTTATGCTCGTTGCTGCTGCTGCTGCTTGCTGCTTGTTGCTAGTTGCTGGTTGCTGGTTGCTTGTTGCTGTTTCATCGACAATTGTTGTTGGCGTTATTTCGTTATTTCGCCATCAACAACAGCAGCATTTTTTATTATTTTGCTTTTTTTTTGTATAAATATTGCTCTTTCTTCACACGCACACAGCAGGCAACACACACACACACAAACACACGTATGGCAGAGAGAAGCGCGCGCGAAGAAGAAGAAGACAAAGGCGAAGCAGCAGAAGCAGCAGAAGAAGCCGAAGAAGACAAAGCAACAAGCAACAACCGTTCGCTGGCTCGCACCTCGCACGAATAAAAGCCAACTCAAGCCAAACTCAAGCCAAACAAAACACTTGACGAACGGCAACGGCTAAAAAAATGTTTTCAGCTTTAGCTTCAGCTTTGGCTTTGGCTTTGGCTTTGCAAACGCAAACGCAAAGAAAAACAATTTGTAAGGCGTTCAATGTATTTTTCTTGTGTGTTGTGTTATTTTGTTGGCTCGTTCACGTACTTTTGGCCAAATGCATTTGTCTCTTAGCTTTTTTTTTTTTTTTGGCAGCCGTCGCTGCTGAATACGTTCGCAAAGTCGGCGCTCAACTCTCAACTGGTTCGCCAGCCGCCGCTCAAATTGGTTTTATACGCAACGCTCAAAACTCAATGCTCAATTCTCGGCTTCAACTCAACTCAACTCAGCCTCCCAGCCAGGTTGGCCAGCCATCTGCAGCAGAAGAGCCCAAACTAGCCAAACTGGCGAGCGACGCTTGAATTGAAATTGAAATTGAAGTTGAAGTTGAGGTAGGTTGTTGAGCGCAGCTGAGTGCAGTGAATGAATCGGAATCTGAAACTGAAACTGAATCTGAATTTGAATCTGCAGACACATCTGGCAGCGCTGCCAACTTGTTTTTGTTTTTTGGCTTTTCTACAAGGCGCCCATTTTTAAATCTCATTCATGAAATAGCTGATCTGAGGTTTTGCATATTTAATATTGTGTTCTTCTGACATTCAAATTTGGGGTATTTAAACTCTGCGACATTCAGAAACAAACACCAAGGTCAGCTCAACTTATTATTCAGCAAGTATAATTCTAAAATGCAAGGTTTTGTCTTTCTAAAAACCAGTGTTTCGCTTTTGGATTTTTCTAAAATTTAGAAAAATGTGCCTTGTTTACGCTGTTTGCGCATTGTTCTTTTTTTGTATATCTCAAATTATTTCTAATTTCAAGAATTTTTCCTTTGTATTTAAAAACTATTTCTATTTCTATTTCAGAAAAACTATTTCCATTTTCAGAACGATTCTGATTTTAGGCACGATTTTTTCCCTGAGTATACCTAATGCCTTGAAGTTTAATTCGATAGATCATGTATCGCATATATATAAACATTTTTTCGCCCAATGGAGTCACAATATAATTGCAAGGTTAATTTTGAATAATCCGCTTTAAAGATCAGCCTACGCATTTTCCACTGCCGCTGCGACCAGCCAGCCTACAAATCGTATATTCTATGTTATTCGTAAGCCAAAGCCATTAAATTGAAAATAAATAAGTAAAAGAAATAAAATATCTAACTAGTTTCCCTCCCACAAGAAAACGATTTCAAATAATAGAGATTTTACTTGCATCAAACAGGGCTCTCCCTTCATCTCTTTCTCTCTCTCTCTCTCTCTCTCTCTCTCTCTCTCTCTCTCTCTCTCTTCCTCTCTCCCTATCTCTCTCTATTAAGTTAAATATTCTGCTTGCAAGGGTATTCACTTTTGAAGCACTCTAAAATTGAACTCGTTTTCGTGTTGCCCACCAACCAGTTGACCAGTTCTGAAGCTGAAGAAAATTAGCCGCATTCATTCACTTTGTGTTTTAATTAACATAATTAAATATATAAATGCGAGCAAGAGCGCCCAGCAACCACAGCCAAACCATTTACATAAGAACAACTTTTAATAATGCCCAAAAAAAATTTAATAAATAACAAAAAAAGCAAATGTTAATTTTAGCTGCCTTTTTATTTATTGTTATTGTTGTTGTTGTTGTTGTTTTGTGGCTTGTTGATTGCCGTTAAATCGACATCAAGTTCATCATCAAACACGTCTGATTGTGGTCTGCCAAGTACTGGGATGAGGGGCAAGAGGCAAGGGGCAAGGCGGCAGGGGGTAACTGGGTCTGGGCCTGGGTAACTTGGCCCGAACGCCCGCTCAACTGGTTAACTGGTTGGTCATCTGGTTGCTCAGAACTGGTCACATTTGAATGCCAAAGGCATCTTTAGCTCTAAGCACTAAAAAAAAATATTTTTTTATGATCGCTCGATTGGCAGAAATTAAAAATTTATGAGAAGTCGAAAAATTTGATCGACATATAAAGTTGGCAACTGGCAGCCCAAAAGCCAAACTTAAATGTCAAACTAATTTGAACGAGATGCTCCATTAAAATAATAGAGAAAAAATAGATAAAGAAAAACAAACTGGATTAATTAACGCGGCTTAATCAAGCGGAACCCCGACTATCAGTCATATAATAACAAACCAAATAATAATAAAAAAAAAATAATTAAATGAAGCTGGAACTGAAACTGAAACTATTGATAAAAACATATGACGGATTGGCCAATTGAGCGATTGTCGCGATTGTAGCGATTGTCGGCAGTAAATTAACATTTTGTATGACACTTGATTGGTTGCTTATGCAATATAATTCAAAATATCTGTTTAAATTAACAAGCGCCGGCTAACAGGGCGTATGTGCAATCTTGTCGCTTGTTATTACACTTATTCAATTAACGCGAGTGTCTGGCTTTTTTCTTGTTTTCTTCTGCTGGCCAAAAGGAAAGGTGTTGACCTTGTCGAACACGCAACGCGACACACAAACACACACAAACACACACACACACTCGACTCCGACTTCAGCTGGGCTCTATTTTAGCTGGTTTACCTTCTGAAATTTCCAATTGCACTTTTGCATTTGGCCATTTAAGTGAAGAGAGCCTGTTTCTCGGAAAGTGATAGCCACACTTGTAAATCAGATCAGTTAATAAACCTCCCCTCTCTCTTAGCCAACTCTTAAATTATTCCTGTGCTTTTTTTTGCTTTCAAGTTCAAGGCCATTTGTTGGTCATTGTTATTTTTTTGGGTGGTTGTTTGGCTGTTTGTTAAATATTTTGTTTGGCATTTACTTTTACATTCATATATACACTCGTAAAAAAATCGCACTACATTTTAGTTAATCGCTCTATAAATTTTAAAGTCTTTCTATTGCTCAGAAATAATTTCTACCAATTTTGATAAATAGTTCTAAAGCTTAGAAGGAGAAGCCTCCTAAATCGTAATCCAAAAAATATGGCGAGTTCTTATGAAAAACATTTCTAAAAAGTTAAAAAATCCTTTCTAAAATTCAAAAATAGCTAATGCAATTAACTTGCTCATCTTTTATATTAATAATATAAATTAACTAAATAACTAACAGAAGAATTCTTCAATGCCATCAATTTTAGAAACTTACTTTTACATTTAGGGCGATTTTTTGCAAGAGTGTATTTATATATTTATATATATTGAAGCTCATATATCATAGATGTATATATCTGTAGGTTGTTGCTGTTGTTGTTGTTGTTGTTGCAACACTTGTGTGCACAAATTATGTCCATAATTACGCGGTTGTTAATCGATTTTTAAGTTGTTCCCCCAACTCTTGAGTTATACAACACATTTTTAACACCTTGCGCACAATGGAAACTGTTGTTGTTGTGGTTGTTGCTATTGTTATTATTATTGTTATTGTTGTAGTTGTTTTTTATAGCATTGGCATTTCGGGGCGCGCACTCGTTTGAAAAACAAAAAAGATACTCACAAGTATTCGACTCGAGTCGATCGGAAAGTCAATAAAATATCAAGTTTTTTTTCTTTTTATTTATACACATATATAAACATATATATATTTATGCAACAAGTATTTGAATTTGTTGCCAAGCCACAAACACACACACATATATACATATATATATGTATACATGTATATTTATATATATATGCATACACGCAAAGCAAAACGTTTGCATTCAGAAATTAACTGCATTTTAGTATCTAGAGCATGAAATTGTAATCCGAGGCGGAGTCCAAGTCGGAGTCGGAGTCCGCGTAGAAGTGGTAGAGGCAAGTGGCCATTTGATTTGAGCCTAAAGCCAAATTGGCAAAGCCAAAGCGCATTTTAATAATGCTGCAAGCTAAGTAAAACCAAAAAAATAATAATGATTTGAACGCGCAGATACTCTTATAATGTAACTGAACATAGTAACAATCTTCAGAGATAGAAATGAAAAAGAAATAAAAAACGAAATGTTAAATATTCGATCTGTAACTCTAAACGGATCTAAGATCTGAGAATAGTCTAACAATTTCTGGTTTATTTGGGGTTTTTCGTTGTTTCCCCAATCATTGAAATAAATTCTAAATCATTTTATATTTCAATACAGACAGTTTTATTATTTCTAATATCCTTTATTTTATTATATTTCCTTCATTTTACATTTTTAATTTTCTTTAAATATTACCAATTACTTATGAATATGCCACAAAAGCTGCAGTTCAGCATACCCTACGGAATATGGCGCAACAAAACAGGCAAATTGGTGAATGTACTTGGCCGAATGCTGATCTGAAATGTAATCGGCTGATAATGTCCAAAGTCTTGTTGCAACAAATGCATACAATTTATTGGTGTTTTAAAAGACATGTTTCTACTCGTTTAGCTCTTAATTCTGTTATATTCTTGTTTATTGAGCTTGCTAATTTTACAAACTCCAAATTGCATTTTTTATGAGTAATTATATACAATATAATATTTAATTAAATATATTTGATATAAATATGTATCTAATATATAATATTAATACAGTAAATATAAATACATCGCTAATAAATAACGTTGACGATAACTTTCAATTTGTCCGCTTGTCAGGTGATTTTTATACACAAACAAAAAACAAACAGAATTTCAAATCGCTGCAGTACCTTTCAAATTCTGTCAGTTTGAGCTTGTTACCAATAACTGCAATA